ACGAAAACACAATGACAAAATATTTGTAATCAGCTTAACATTTATTTTCTGAGCGTAGAGAAAACTGGCAGGTAAATTTATACCAACGTGTCAATTAGTTCTGCCAGCGTACAGCAACATTTTGGTGTAGTTATATGCTTCGCCGTATTTCTAAACCATTGCGATGCGACTTCTGTTAAAACTGAGTAGTGAATCTGTAGACAGCAGGGAGATCGAAAGTTGGCATTTCTTTGAGGTATATCACACATGCAGTTAAACAAGAAATGAATCAAAGACGACAATTTTCAAACAATCACGGCAATAATATATATTTCCAGATATTTTACAAAATTTCTCAAATCAAGCCAGTTGGTAGAGGAGTTTAGGACTTTGATCCTCCACTTAATAATGGTCCAATTTCAACACTTTCAGCACTAAAAGCAAGTATGCGAAGAACTAGTCAATTACTTAAAGAAGCGCAATTTCCTCTAACAATTTCAATTTTGCCATAGAAAGTGGCATTCTACAGTTCTAGTCATGCTATGAATTGCTGATAACCTAATGAGATCTTAGAGTCTTTGAAATTGCTAATCCAAACATCCTACTTACAACAAAAAAATTGGACGGTCGCTCATGTTGTTATTATTTATTATCATCATTGCTATCATAATTAATTGAGGCTAACCGCTATAATTCCTTAACTGAAAACCTTTAGTCAAACTGAACATTCTCACTCTCAGACCTCTCGCTGTCACCAAGATAATCATCGCCCAAATGTGGTTCAAATTCTCCTCTATTTCGCAAACCCCTCAGTTCAGCTCTGAGTAAAACATACTCAGTAGAATTCAGGCAGCCTCACTTTTGAACAACTGGCATTGGAGAATCAATGGCCAGCGAACATCTCCTTCTGTGTTTAACACTCGCCGTGTCAACTTGCGCCCTGTATTAATTTTCTTTATCGCACTTAGTCGCTGTATCATAACAATTCTCGGCACACCATGTACACTTCTGTACTTGAAACAGTTCACCTGCACAATAGCAAAGTCTGTAACCTCGACGCGTAGAACATTCTTGGTTTTTTCCAACATTTCAGCCGTGTCCTTCAAATTTGCTCCCCATTTGCAACCCATTTGGTTGTAAACGGCCTACTGTAGTTTGCTAAAGGAAATAAACGAAACGAAACGCAACGAAATGGAAATATGCTAATGTTTGCAAAATAGAAATCGCAAATTACAGATTTCTATTTTGCTAATTATTAGCATATTTCCATTTCGCAAATTACAAATTTTCATTTCGTTTCGTTTCGTTTCGCAGTAAGCCTTGTAAACGCGGTTCATACTTCTTACCTAAAAATTTATCAGACTGCCAATGTGTTTTGAAGTATTCAGGCTCGTTCGAGTGTGACTAGTGAGCGAATGGAAAGTGAAACTAAAAGTGAAAAGCAACTGAAATAAACAATCACAAGGTATAGAAAGTGCAGTAGATTTAAAATCGGAAAGCTGTTTCAAGAACCCGATCACACTATCACATAACTACTAAGTTATGCTACGAATTGCTGATAACCTGATGAAATCTCAGAGTCTTTGAAATTTCTAATCCTAACATCTTGTTTAAAACAAAAAAAAAACAAACAACAAACAACAACAAAAAAATGGGACGGCCACTCACGTTGTTATTATTTATTATTATCATTACTTTCATTATTACATGAAGGTAACCGCCATAATTTCTAAGTTGAAAACCTTTAGTCAAACTGAGCATTCTCACTCTCGGACCTCTCGCTGTCACCAAGATAATCATCGCCCAGGTGTGGTTCTTTACCTCGCCATTCCTCATTTTGTTGCTTTAGTATCTCGGACAAGTGATTCAACCGCTTTTCAGCCGAAATGCGTTCCAGTTCGAACCCATTTCTTTGGATGAGCACCATTGCTTCATGAGCTTTCTCAAAAGCCATAGCAACATTCTCCTCAAAGAAGTGCTGATCAGACCTGAATAGCAGATGTTTAATTTTTGTCCCTAGTGCCATGTTGTCTGCCGCTGCTCCGAATTCAGTGAAGTCCAGGTGTAGTTTTGCCCTCTCAACATCCTCTTTATAGAGGGAGTTGTTGCTGTCCACTGCTTTAGAACAGGACACTAAAAGCATAGCAGCCATTTTAACGTGTACATACTCCTTAAATCCTTCATTTGATGTATATTGGCACGCCATATCATAGGATTTGTAGGCTTCTTCCTTGGTAGCTTTGGTATCCTGAGCAAGGTTTGTAGTTGGTAAAGAGTTGAGCAAGGCTCCATAGCTGTGATAAAGTTCAGCTTTATCGTCACGGGAGTCTTGATATTCAAGAGCTGTGTCGGCCTTCTGTACGCACTCCATCGCATTCCCATATTTTCCCTGATGTTTGTAAATCGCCGTGAGTAGGGTTAAGGCTCTTCCAGTCAGAATACCGGGGTTTTTCAGATATTGTTCTTGCTTAAGGATCATTTTCAATATTTTCTTAGCATCTTTTACATTGTTTTGAAAATATAACGCCATAGCGCGCTCAATTCGGAGACTTGCTTCCTTGTCAACATCCTCGGCCGACATTTTCAACAATTGAAGTTGTATCAATTCCTCATGTTTCTCAAATTCTCCTCTGTCTTGTAGACCTTTCAGTTCAGCTCTGAGTAAAACATACTTAGTAGAATTCAGGCAGCCTCGCTTTTGAACAACTGGCATAGGAGAATCAATGGCCAGCGAACATCTCTTTCTGTGTTTAACACTCGCCGTGTCAACTTGCGCACCGTAGTAATTTTCTTTATCGTGCTCAGTTGCTGTATCATAACAATAATTCTTGGCACACCATTTACACTTCTGTACTTGAAACAGTTCACAGTTAGAACCAGTATACACGATATCAATGTCTGTAATCTCAACACGTAGAACATTCTCGGTCGGTTCCAACATCTCGGTGTCCTTCAAATTTGATTCTACTTCACCTATTTGGCTGTAGACGCGATTCATACTTCGTGCTATATTTTCTCAGACTACTATTGTGTTTTAAAGTTATTAAAATTAAGCTCGTTTGAGTGTGACTAGTGACCGAATTGAAAGTGAAAATAACTGATTCAGGAGTTAATAATAACAAGATTGAAGTAAGCAACTGTTGGAGTTTCGGGTCTCTCCTAGACAGCTTTCGAACTCTGAATCTACTTCACTTTCGATATCTTGTACTGAATTATTTATACTTCCTACCTAGTTAGCAAGTATCAAATTGGAAGAGCGGCTGAAACGCCTTTATACAGTCTTGCGTATAGGTGAGCTAACACAAGAGAATGTTAATCGATGAAAAAGATTTCGCACTCTCCCACGAAACAAGTACTCTTCAGGTGTTCATTTACAAGAAGTCACCACTGACATTTACCTGTTTTGCTTCGTAATACCCCTACGAGAAAAGAACAAATCATTGTGTTCGTAAAATATTTCAAGAAATCGCCATCCAGTCGTAATAGATAAAGTTTTCTGCCTTGTTACACTGCTAGACACATTTTATTTAAGCGAGTACCCACTTCCGCCTAACAGCCTCGATACGAGTGAAAGTAAGGAAAAGCTTTAAGTCTTCCTTTTGCATTTCATACCATTGTCTAAGAGTCCTTGAACAACTAAACATCGACAATAGCCTCCATTCCACGCTGCAAAATGATCGGACATTGCCATTTCCGCAAAGCGCGAGGAAAAGGTCACGTCCAGGGACATATGCAGGCTTAATTCTTCTAATTCCTCCTCTTAAAATATTTTCCGTAGCACGCGGAGCAAAACAGGTAGGAACAGCCTACCGCTAGAAAGGAATGTCGATTTTCCAGAATGCCCAACTGAAAAGATAAGTTCTTCTCTTTTTCAACAAGAACAACAAAACGCCCTCACCAAGAGAATCAACTCTCAAGGGAGCACTTCCATCTCACTGCGCTTGAAAGAACTTAAAATCAGTAGACTTTCTCCACTTTTGATGAAGGCATACCCAGTCCCATGATCCACTGAATGCAATCACGCACAAACAAGTCTTTGCGATGAATTATTAACATTATCAATCTTATCACAAATGGTTTTTTGAGAAAGATTTTTTTTCGTTTTGTCACGAGAAGAATGAAGAATGAAGAATCGAACCTCAGACCTTCAGATTCTGCGAGCCACATAAACTCCACGGTGAGCGAGGTCTATACGAAGTTCATGATACGCGTCCTGCATACTGCTAGGCTCAGTAATGTCGAAAGCGTAATGTTTGTAGATAATAATAAGAGAGATGGTAAGTTTTGAGCTCGGTAATATGTTTTAATTAGCTACAAAACAAAGGTATGCAATATTGCCTACTTCGCTGAATTTTATTGGTTCCCATTGGTGAAATTATAGCGTGTTTAATTTAAAATACCCGTAATCACGTGACGGATGTAAGATATAATCAAGAGGAACTGAAGAACACTATAAGATTTGATGGAAGCTAGCTGTTCCAGTTTCCAATTAAATCCTATTCATTATTTACAGGTTATTCCCAGCACTAACAATACTTGCAATGTAAAATGAAAGATAAGCAGAGTGAAGATATATGATGGAGAAGTTTAAATTTTAATCTACCTTTTAATGACTAATCAATATCTTTTATAGTTGTCTTCAAAGTACAATTAACACAATAAAAATGAAATTCCACATGCAGTTAAACCCTGAGGGATTCTCTCCTTTCTGTCAATGAGCACACAAGAACTGATTTGCTGACTGTTGTATTTCAGATATTTAATCAAAAATTTGTGTCAAAATGAAGGGAGGGTCTGGGTAACATGCTGCATATGTCCTATATGACCATAATGCAATGATCACTTGAGAGTCCCTCTCCTTCTCTGGCCTTCATTCAGAACAGCCTACAAATTACCAACACAGTGTAACTTCTTAACCCTTGTTAAAATTCATAGATTGATAATAGATTCATACTCATGCTGGTCTTTATTATTTTGCACGTGTATTCTATTACCAAACTCTCAGAACTAAGTAAGAAAGAAATTGGTGTTAAGACTGAATGTTTACATAAAAAAATCAAACAGAACGCCAAAGAAGTCCTTTCTTCTATCACAAAGCTTCTCTCAGTGCCGCAAATAGACCAGCAGATATCAAACCTAAAAGAAAAAAAACAAAAACAAAAAGATTTTCAATTCAAACAAAGTGAACCACCCACAACATCTGTTTCATCTCAGCTTAAAATTCCACAAAGTATGCAAAATACAACTTTTCTATGAGAGCAAACACAAAGTATGACAATTTGAATAAAGTGAGGGCAATTTTCAGAGTCTTAACTTTACCTGTGAATGGATAACTTTCCTCAAAGTGTCTCAATTCAAGTAGTCATACTGTAAAAACAACCCTTTAACTAACCTGCAAAAGGCATAGTAATAACCCAGGCCAGTATAACATTCCTGAATAATGACCAATCAACAACTTCCTTGGACCGCACTCTGCCAACCATAACAACAGAGCCCACTTTACAATGTGTGGTACTGATTGGAATGCCAAGATTAGATGCACACAGAACAGTTAGCGCTGAGCCAATTTCAATCACAAAACCACTGGAAATTACAAATAATATAAAATACTGCTATTATAAGATCACACATTGAATGAACAACTAAAAAAAAACCACAAATACAGTACAGTATGTATGAGTGTCAAAAATAATGCACATGGATAAAAGCAGGGGAAAGAACTTAAGGATACAGCAGACCCTTGAGGGCTGACTTTTTTCCTTTTTTTTCTTTTTCTTGTCAAACTAAGCATTATCATTTTAACCATAGTTTCCAACAAAAAATTAGGTAAAATCTTGACACATGTGTGAGTTATTTACTAAAAAATTTTTGAATGGAATTCTTTCACCTGCCAGTGTGAATAGCCAAATACAACATGTAAACATTAATGACTCTAAAGGGTTTGTTGTGGCAAAACATCCTGGTACTTGAATTTCAATCATGTAAACGTCTCCTGATTTCGATTTCACATACAGATCTTTGCTATCTGCCTGCATTGAAAACTAGAATGTGAATAGAAAAAGATAAAAAGGGGAAGAGTCCATAGATGAAAGTAAAATAAGAAGCCTGAATGACTCAGCACAAGAAGTAAAGAAACTCCTCACATAGTGGTGAAAGAATCTCACCAAATCAAATAAAGGCCCCTGGTTTAAGCAATCTTCACTGCTTGCACTTGATTAGCAACCATTAAGTTTTGCCGTGGCATGCTTAGGCTGGCTTTAGGTTGAAAAAAAAAGTTGACATCAAAATTGCTGTTTGGCAGGTCTGTTGTGGGGACATTTGTAACTGATGGACAGTTACCTAGTGCAAAATATGTTTTTTACTGAGTCTCCTGAGACTCTGCAGGACACTTCTGTGTTTCGATCAGCTATAAGCATTTCAAGTTTTTCAGAGTGTTGACATAACTTGACACGTGGTCACCCAAAGACCTGAATTGTTGGGAAAACTTTAGAAACTTACTTTGTTTTTATGTGGAAGTGCCTTCTTTGAACAAATTAATAGGGTATGTAAACTATACAGATTGCCTTGAAATTTTATCTAGATACTCCCATGACACCAACCAAACAAACCATGAGAGGGAATTCCATTTTTCAAAATGGATCTCCCCTAGTGGCTTCTGATGTAATATGTATCTGTAAAATTTTGATCAGCAAACTTGACAGATAAATTACAAAGTAACCAATAACAATATCAATAAATCTCCACACAGTTTTGAGGACCATTAGCTCCTCAGGATTGAAATTGTGCAGAAGTTTTGTTTGTGCAGTCAGATTTAATATGTCATTAATCACTCAAAGAAAAATTGTGTATTCTGAATTTTTGCGTACCGTTTGGTTTACAATTAGATCAAGCTTAAGTGAAAAGAATTTTTGCCAAGTAGTGAATGTCAGAATCTTACCATGGATATATAGTTCATGGTTTATTTTTTGCAAAGAACACCTGCGAGGGTCTACTGTATCCTTAAAACTTTACTAGATAAACTTAGCAATCCTCCCATGATACAACTGACAGCTGCTCAGTACTGACTAGGTACTGTGAAAGTTGGAAGCTGTCATCATGTCTGAGTTTCCTCCTTCTTCATTCAAGCACCACTCCCTGGGGGGACCACTCTGTAAAATTTGCATGGACAGTTTGGCGTGCTTTCAGAATTTTCTTACCTTTCCTCAGACAAAATAAGTAATTTTTTTTTTACCCTGACACCAAATTGAAGGACAACAAAATGTTGATTCTAGAAAGTTTCAAAAGTCTTGCTCATATAAAACTAAATGGCTGATTGTCTCTGTCTATTCTTAAGTTGCACGTGTAACGGAGTACCTTGTCTTCCAGCATACCTTGATGGTGTTATTGGAGTTAGATCCTCTCCAACTGTCTTGATAACACGTCGTCCCCAAACAAAGAGCCCAATGCATATTCCAACACCTCCAAAAACAAGAATCCAGATTGGAATCTGAACTTTCTCTTGAATCATTCCTGACCAGTAAATAACCCACAATGAGATCAATGGACCAATAGCATTGCTGCAATTCAAGATAAAAATAGTTTTGAAGGATCGTGCGTAACAAGCAAGACTGTGCAAGACAACGGCATTTGCCAAGTTACTAAGCTACTGTGATCATTCTATGAAATCGAAATTTCAGCACTGTAAACAACAGCAAACCTGTAAGAAAAAATGTCTGTTCTACAGTCCAAAGACACAATATAAATCAGCTCCAGTAGCTTTGTGTTAAGCCACTCAAAATTTATTATTTCAAACTTTTTGTGGATGAAGAATGAGCTGAAAAGTGATGAAACTCAAACACAATTCAAACTGGTTTTTGTGTCAGGTCTTTGTGTATGACTTGTGTATAAGTCGAGGGTGATTTTTTGGGCTGAGTTTTTGGTCCTAAGAGATTGACTTATACACAAGAAAATACGGTACTTGTTTTTATAGCTTTCAAAGGAGATGGACCTTGCCAAGACTTAAAAAAAAGAAGACATTAAAAAAAAAAGGACTGAGTATCACAATTCACACACAATCCAGATCACCCCTAATTAAATTGAAGTCTTCTAAAGTAACTGCTGAAGTTCATCAGCTGTAAACTCTCATGTTTAACCCAGCATCTTTTTATAATAACAGAATGCTCCCTCAGGTCCCATAGAAAATCTGTGACTGATTATCCATGAGTACCTGCCTATCAGGTAAAAGTTAAAAAAAAAAATCAGGTACCTCACATCATTTCCACCATGTGCAAAGGCTCCAAATGAAGCAGTCAATATCTGCAAAAAAGCAAAAAGCCGTCCAGTTTTGGGTTCATCTGTTACTTGCATCCGTGCCTCCATCAGGAGAGACATTCCCCGTGATCTTGCTCGTTCCTTATGTGCCTCATTGAGACCACCATTCTCTTGAATCAGTTCCTTAGTATCACATTGCATCTCACTGGAGGGTGAGCAACTTAAGTTTTGTTCATCACTAGGTGTATCTGGGGCTTGTTCATTGTTGGGTGTGTCTTGTGCTTGCGTGGAAACAGAACACTCAGAAGGCAGAGTTAATGTCACTGTATCATCCTCACATTGGCTGCTTTCTTCTAGGAATTCTTATTTGGAAGAAAAGAAAGGAAAGAGTTAAAAAAAAAAAAAAAAAAGGACAAAGAAATTAATACTGATAGAGCCTTTGAAAAACAATCCCCAGAATTATTTTAACTCTGTAAGTTGTGCCAGCTTACCAGCCATGAGTATGATATCTAATAAAAACTTCTAAGTCAAGAATGACAAACCCCTTTTTGTATCACTTGTTGGCTTATCTGAGTCTGGCCTTTTGGCATGTTTAGAAATACAAGGCAACAAATGAGGCTGCTGCTCTCAAATGGATGGAACAGTGGCCCATTAAGCTCAAGTTTGTTCCCAGCTGTTTCCTTGAGTTAAGAATTGCCAAGTTACATAATGACCAGGGTTGAAACTAAGAATGTTAAAAGTCAAGGTCACTCTAAAGATCACAAATTTTTTGTTAGCCAAAAGTTTTTTAGTTTCCAAAGTTGTTCCGATCCTAGTGAAAATCCACTTCAAAGTGGCCAACACACATAGCCATTTTGAATAGCTAATTAGCTTAGTGGTGATGTCAAACTGTCTAACATTTAATTACCCCCTGCGCATTTCCAGTGTTTACCTTTTGATTGTGGTCATGATGGCTCATAAACCGTATCATTTCAAGCCAAAATGAGCTCAAAATCTGGTCGAAAACAGGAACAGAGATGGTGAAATGAGTAATCTGCTTGAAACTACGGATAGTTTTTCTTGTGGCTTAATATTGTCAAGTGCTACCAATGCCGAAAGAGTGTATTCGCTGTCAAAAACAAGCAGACTGGAAAACAAGATGGAGAATACCAATACTTACACAAATGATAGTTGGCTATAATGAGTGAATACTTTTAATGGAAAGTGGTGTCTCTTTGCTTGAGTGTTAAAAATTACAAATGTAAGAAATTTGCTTAAATCAACTAGATTTGTATTTATCTCAGTTTGTTTTGTCTCTATGTTTATTTTGCTGCTTGGCAAAACGCAGGGGTTTCTTGTATTTCAGATATGAAATTCCCGGCCTGTGTTGAAATCAACCAGTGCTGACAACAAAAGGAATGCAGGAAGAGAGACTGCTGCCACTGATAGTAGAGAAGCCCATTTTACATCTGTTTTTCCTAAGCACCAGAAAAAGTGGGTTGCTAACACCATTTATGAATTTATCAGTTCATTGAAGAGCTAATGAAACAAGGAAAAATTCAAGCATCAGCAATACCACAAAACTCTGCCCTGATTTCTAAAGGGAACAAAGGAGACACAATTTCCCAGCATATGTCCAGGTTTCAACAACCGAGTATCACCACCAGTCATTAAGAAATGTTGTAATACCAACACAGTACACCGATACATATTTATTTTCATTCTAGCTATTACTTCCTTACAGGACTTTCTAACCCTATAGGAAAATCAAAATGCTGTTGTATAATGGACTCAAAATCAGTTCATGAATTTTTTTCCTTCTCTCCCAGCTTCATGGTTTGAATGATTTTAAGTTCTTGTGGTATAGCATTGTCACCAGGAAACAATCATATGATATTGCAACTGCATGTCCCACCTTTCTTCCATGGTTTATATTTTGGCATCACATTAATAAGTTAGTTTGTAGTGATTTAATAGTGATAGAGCATATGCAATTGGGTCACCACTAGCCATACTTGTTTATCAAATAAGGTGCTTTCATTCTTTTTTTTTTTACAAGACTTTGATACACAATTCTTAAATTAGTTTAACATCCAAAGGCTACATCTTCTATATTTTTTACTTACCCACATGACAATTAAATAACACAACTAGCTAATTTATGTACTGGATAACTACCAAATATATTGCACCCATTGTTGCAACCTTAACCCTTCAACACCATGACATAAGTATGAACATTCTCCATACTTATCTCCACATACATCCAAAAAAACTGACAAGAAGAAGTTGTTTAACAATCAAGAGCTTCTTTAGTTGGTGATCATTTCCTTTACTCGTGTGACCCTAACATTTGATTTAAGGACAATATTGTAAGGAGAGATGCGGGTCTCTTTAAGGGGTCAAAAGGTTAAAACCAGTAGAATTCCCATCAGCTTCCACAAACTCTTTTGGAATAGTTGTAATGACACAGGATGGAATAATTTCTTCTCTTTCAAACTTTCTTTGAATCAGACAGAGCTACTCTTGATAAGCTGCATAGTCATAAGGACTGAAAATAAAATTGGTAATAATTTGTATCTAATGATGACATAGATAAAAGAAATTTTGAATTTAAATTTTATACTTGAAGAAAAAAAGGACAACAACAACAACAACAACATATAACCAAAAATGTAAGAGGAACAGAACAACATCATTCTCTGGAGTGTACATTTTCATTAGAACAAAAGAGTGATGGCAGACTTCATAGTCTTGATGTAATTTGAGTAAAATCATGTCACTAATGAGCAAGTATAGCACATGATGTATCCTGGAGTAAATGCAAATAGAATCTTATCAGCACTGCCCTTATCAATTCTGCAATGGTGAAGGCATAGGTGATCTACTATAGTTGTACAGGCCCATCATCGCAGTTGGTAACAATGTGCTCGATTTAAGCACACGGCCGGGAATTCCTCCTTCTCTAAGATACATGAAACCCCTGCATTTTGCCCAGCAGTGAAAAATTATAGACACAAAATACACAGAGATAAATACAAATATAGTTTGTTAAAGCTAATTTCTTACAAGTGCAATTTCCAACACTTAAGTCAAGCAAAATGACACCACATTCCATTAAAAGTATTCACTCATTATAGCCAACACTCATTCATATAAGCATTTGTATTCTCCGTCTTGTTTTCCAGTCTGCTTGTTTTTGACAGTGAATGCACTCTTTTGGCGTTGGTAGCACTTGGCGTAAGCCACAAGAGCACCTATCTGTAGTTTCAAGTAGATTCTTCATTTCACCATCTCCGTCACTGTTTTCGTCCAGATTTTGAGCTTGTTTTGGCTTAAAACAATGTTGTTTATGAGATGCCATGACCACAATCAAAAGGTAAACACTGGAAATGTGCAGGGGGTAATAATATGTTGGAAAGTCTGACATCGCCACTATATGCTAACTAGCTATTCAAAATGATGGTGCACATTGGCTACTTTGAACTGGATTTTCTCCAGGATTGGAGCAACTTTGGAAGCTGAAAAAATGGTGGCCAACTCAGCTTAGTGTAAACTATAAATTAGTGGTCACAAAAGATATGCGATTTTTAAAATGACTTTGTCTTTTAAGAACACTTTTCTTAACTTAGGTATCATGTACTAAACACAGCACATTACCAAACGTTTGTTTGAGTCACTGCAATAGCATAGTAAGTATAAATCTGAACACTTATCTCTTAGATTTCAGTCATGTTGGAGGGATTCCATTGGTATTAATAATTAACTCATTCTATCATTCCTTCTTTATAAGGTGGGATTCAAAGGTATTTTTGCAGATGTTGTGGGAATTTGTTCATAGCTTCATTTGTTCTTATTTTCCACGAAGCCATGCAAACTCTTCCCTCGGTAAAGGAAACTGCACCATCAGTGTTACTTAATTGGTCACAGTTTTTTAAAATACCCTCTATTCAGCAAGTAAAAATATGATAAACTATTTAAGATTGAATACAAATTTGACATGGAAGTAAAGTTGTGTCTTGAACAAAAACTTACTTCTTGAACCTTGTTCATCAGTAAAAACTTCTGGCTCAATACTTTTAATCAAAGTTGATTTGGAGAAATGGGCAGCAGCTGGTGAACCAGCAGATAAAGTTGTTTCTCTTTCATCACCATATACTTCCCTCAGAATTTTCTTCTTCAAGTATGGAGACACAACAAAGAGTACAATAATTGCTGAGAGAATACCACCTCCAACTGACAGGATTAACACACCATACAGTGGAATGCGATCAAAGCCCAATACTGAAAACAATTGAATAGAACCTCCAATTAATCATGTCATTACTCAATATGAGTTCTATCATTGACAGTGTTTTAATTTGAAGGACTTACTCCCAACTTCTTTGCCAATTAACATAAGTTAATAATTAATTTATATTGTTCTTATTCATTGGCATGTAATTTCTCCTCATGATTTCAGCACATTCTTCATGAAACAAGTGATGAAAATAAAGAAGGTTTATAAGCTAGAGAGTGCCCCCTATTTTACTGGTTTAAGAAACATTTTCTAGTCATGGAGAAGAACAAATTAAAGAAAACTTAATTAAACTGGGAAATGATGTAAAATAATTTGACCAAATAATGAAAGTACCTCTTAAAGAAAAATTATATAATTATCAAAAACCCTACAGATTTTATCTACACCATTAAAAAGTACTTTATATCAAAAATCATGTTATCTCAATGTTTTCTACAGAAACTCTTCTTACCATGAGATCCCTTGTAGAACACTGAGAAGAAATTAATGGCTATTGTTATGGCATAAAATAAAGGCAGTGACTTCAGACCAATATCAAATGCGTTAATCTGGAAAAAAAGTTACAATAACTGTACATCAAAATTTCAAATTAATAAAGGATTCAGGGAATGTACATTCATTACCAAAATCTGTATCAAACTACAGATACTAATCAAAAGTGCAACTCTTTCAATTGAAAATAAATCAAGCAGTATACAAATAACACTGAGTCAATTAGAAAAGCACTCAATATTTGCCACAATGCTATGTAAGCTCTCTCTGTCAACCAATACTAGCATTAATTTTTATGAGACTTGGCTAATAACATTTGGCAAACAAACAAAATAAAGCAAAACAAAGCAACAAAAAATAAGTCAGGGGACTGTACTATTACCTGGTGTATTCAAAAGGCTTCAGATTCACTAATAAAAAACTAAGACCTTTTTCAGTTAAATGTAATTAGAAATGGGTTAAAAAATAAAAAAACACAAACCCAAGCAGCATCCCATTACATTCCACATATTTTGCTTTAAAGATAAAGACTATACACAAAGCAATAAATTCTGTTTCTGCTTGGCAGTTAGAAACTGTGCAGGTGTAAAAGTTTAATAAAAAGCTTACTTCTCCCAACCACAGAAATATGAAGTTTATTAAATATGAAAACTGCCTAATTTGTAGTTATACCATTATTTAATAAGTGCTCCTTGCACAAGAACAAAAACTAGGTACAGTTTTTCATTAGATCAAACCTTGGTTTCTTACTTTGGAAAGTATGAAATGTCGAATAAGAACAAAGATGATAGAACTTGAAAGTCCTGACAGCAATGGAGATATGACCCAAGATGCAGCTACAAATAGAAAAAGGTAAATAGTCATAAAAAATCCAAAACTATCATAGTCATCAACAACACTTGACCAAGATTATTAAAAAATACCTTCAGGTTTCTACTTCATTTTTCAAACATGTAATGAAGGTTTTAAAATTCTGTTACAGAGATAAGGCAACTGTTGTAATTGAAGTTTTATAAAATCAATTTAAAAAAGGAATCTAGTTTGATAAGCTCTATGTTTTACAACAACTGACTAATTCTCTCTACTAAATCCTTGGATCAATATCAGTATCTGGGCAACTGCCCACCTACCCTTCCCCTAACCTAATAACAGTCAATTGATAACAAGTTAGGGTGAATGTTAGGTTAGGGGAGGGGTAGGTGGGCAGTTGCCCAGATACTGATATTGATCCAAATCTTTTAATCATCCACAACTGTAATCAAGAATGATGGATTTCTTTAGGCTAAAAGACTCACCAATGAGTCCAAAAGTCTTCCACTTGACTCCTGCAAGCCCATGTGCCACTAATGCATAACCCATAGTAGCACCAACAACACTGTGAGTCCCTGACACAGGAAGGTTAAAAAATGTTGCAACTATCAGCCATATTCCTGTACCACTGAGAGCACTCAGTGATCCAATCATAGCCAGTTCTTCAGTACCATTAAAGGAGTTTATATCAATGATTCCTTTCCTTACTGTGTCTATGAACAAGAAAAACAAAAGCTTCAATATTCATGTCCCTTTAATAATTTGGTCTGAAGGATGATATCAGTGAGTTATCATTTCTTGAAAATTAGACTTAATTAAGTAAACTAACCTGAACAGTTTTTGTTGTGATTTTACAAATTAGACTTCAAAATTGCAAGAGAAGGAAAATGGGTAAGGCCATTTATATCACAGTAATCTGATCCACTTGAGCTATCAAATTAAAAGTGCTGGTGAAGTGGAAATAAGTGACTAGCAAATCAAGCTTACATAGAAGATGATTTCTGGACATTGTTAATGAAATATTTAAACCAAGTGCATAAAACTAAAAAATTTCAGAACATTTTTATTTTTAGAGCTTAGACCAATCCCGAGTTAAAAGTTTTTTTTGTTCTCCCACAGTTCTAATATCACCTTGAGCAGTCACATTGCAGGCCACATTAGTGAAGTTAGAAATTTGAAAACTGGTGTTAATCATTCTCAGTTAACCCCCTTGTTGATTACTCTTAACTATGATGTGATCTCTTGAGTTATTCTGTAACCAGAAAAATTATTATTTTATGGCTGCATTTCATGAATATTTATTAAACCCAGAATAGTGTTCATTTAGCTTAAAATTGTGACCTTGTCTGACACAAATCTAAGTAACTTGCATCCTAATTATCAAAATTACATGAAACAGTTCACTGAACATAAAAACATATTCATTCAGCCCTTCCAACCACTTTGGAAATTACATTCGTAACGGTCAAATGTGAAACCTCAAACTTGCAAATTGCAAACAATAGAAGCCACGTAATGACATCTTTCAATAACTCCATGGCAAAAAGAAAATAATCATGTCAGAAGGACAAGAATATTTTCACAAAAGTTTTTTTCGGTTCTTAAAATAATTGAATGTATCCTCAAATGCTTAAAAAAATCACTCAGCTGTGGAGATGAATGAATCGGATCAGTGAACACACTTGTACTCTGAGCTGCTATTGTTGTATGGAAATACTGGAAACTAATATCAACTTCCATTAAAAAACAATCATTTATTATGTAAACTTCCAGGGCCATTGAAGATGAAGTTTTAAATTCATATCGTGTTGATCAGTAAGCTTAATCTCACGATATTCGAACTGTTCATGGGTTGAGGCAATATTACGATCATTGTTCAACACAATCAGGACGATTTTCGTACAAAAACATCTGCTAATGAGGAGTATGCCTAAGATAATGAAATCACCCCTTTCCATAAACATTGAAAATCAAAAGGGACAGAGAAGCATCTTGAATACATAATAAATTCATCAGACATGGTGAAACCTCCAAGGTCAAACTTAATTAAGGTCAAACACTCTCTTCAGTATCCTGTGATGGCCGTTACCTGATACTCTGGCTCCAATGAGAACTGCTCCGGACAGTTCAAAGATCGTTGCAATAATGCAGGCTTGCCGGAGAGTCAACACTTTGGCTCCCACGGAAGTTCCAAATGAATTCGCTACATCGTTTGCTCCGATTCCAAAAGCCAAGACAAAGGCAACAATGAAACCCACAATAACTATCCACAAAAGATCCGGGTCCTTTGGTTCCAACATTGTAGCTTTTTACCGGACTAAAATGTAGCCGCCTGTATTCGAAGACTGGTCTCTCAATCGTAATTTCTGCTTTGCGAACCAGCCTCTAACACTAGCACACCTATCTTTATATGTTCATGAATCCCTGGATCAGTTATTGTACAGCTGGCGTTGTCTGATCCAGTCAATCCAGTGTGATCAAAGCGTGGGGTAAGGTCATAAGTGCTCTAGATGACTGAATTTGTTTAGCGCTGTTTCGCGAAAAAGTGCGGTCACAGAAGCAACTGCGAGCACAAATGAGCTGAAAGAAAACTTAAGTTTCGAATGATAAAACTTAGGATATAATCAACGCTCCCAGCCGAACAAGGGTGGAGCAAAACATGAGAGCAAACACGACGCAGTGCACTCTGGACTTGACATTTGCAGGACAATAACCCCCTACATCTTAGTACCAAGAACCCGCGAATTTTTGGAGATTACTCTCCCTCGAGATTCTACAGCAGACTGAAGTATCAGTACCTGAGAAACTAGGGTAACCAGAAAAAGGCTCGAAAACAGCTTTTCTAATATCCCACACGGGTTCCCAATTCCCCAGCCCCACCCCCGCACCGAGCTGATCATTACGCTTTACGAAGTTTAAACGCTCTCAGACCTACACGGTACATGTGTTCGTTTGACTAATAGGTTATTGAGCAGATTATCCATTCTGTTTGTAGAGGACTCTGCATGAATCTGCTACGATGCTTGCAACTTAAAACACTCGACGATTGTTTCTAACAACATATTGACGAAGAGCTCTATTCCAGTTCTTTAAGTTAAGTGAGTTTTTTTAAGTTCAGCGATTTTTATTGGTATTTCCGGGATCAACATTAGAAGAATGGATTTAACGGACATTTTCCGTCTCTGCACCCCTTTTTTTAAGTTCAGCGATTTTTATTATTGTAAGTGAGACCACCATTGAAATAATGGAAAAAACTTACATTTTTAGGAAAATTTTTCGTTTCTGCACCCCTTCCCGTCCATAGCTGACCGGTGTAATGGATATCCCCAAACAACTATTTTTTAGGATGGAAAGAAAACCCTAAGAAAAGGTCTTATATTTTACCTATTTTCGTAACGAAACTATTCCTCCTGATTACACCCGCGACCGAGCCGGCAAGAGCTAAAGGCTCCCTGAGGCCGTCTACATCTAGCCCCGCTCTCCAGAGTGAAACATCTTGGATTTTGTTGCAATTTACATGCGGTTTGCTTTTGTATTCACTAAAGATTTACAATACATACTTCTCTATTTTAAGTATCGGCTAAGAATTCAGTTATCGACTTGCTGGTGTAGTGGCAAAGCGGAGGGTCCACTTCCCACTCTAGTAATTTTCTGAAATCAGAAAATAGTTACAAATTTTACTTCACCCTTGTTTATAAAATGTAACTTAGCGTTTAAGGCTGAACCTGAGATGGCTAATATCTTCACGAAAGAGTGGGAAAAATTGCCGCAACAGCAACACAACAACAGACAAAAAACATATTTCCAGGCGGGGTGTACCAACTCTTTCATAGATAACCTGTAATAGACCCATAATTCTTTGCGATCAGCAAGGTGTAATGGCGGACGTTAATGACGTTGTGGAAGCAACTCATTTATCTTCTGAAAATATTGACGGAAGAGCTCTTTTGCATTGAGCTTTACAGCACATAGCCATCAGATGGAAATTTATCAAGGTTGTACACCTGGTTATCCGCCTCTCCCTCAAGGCTGGGAGATGAAAGTGGACCCTACTTCTGGAAAACCATTCTTCATCGATCATAAGACGCGGACAACATCTTGGGAAGATCCAAGAGTAAGGCAGAAACATTATCAGGTTAGTAATGCTGTTTAACACCGTGCTAGGTGTACTATTGATGATGCATGTGAGTTTGATCTTGGTTTTCGTGACTCAAAATGGTCACAAAATGCTTTTCTTCGAACTAATTGAAAATGGATATTTTGTATGCTTTAATAGCTGACGTCTAGCTTGAGTAGTTCTGAAATGTCAACAATGTTGGTGGGTCTGATAGCGAAGAATTTATATAAAACAGATCACTTAAACTGATTTTATAATATTTTGGCTGAGCTAAAACGCAATAAATTGGTTGGTAACACATATCGTTACCTAGACAATGTCGTTGTACTGCATTTTTTCCTGTGTCACTTGAGGGAATATTTGTCAAAATTAAGATGCTCTTGAAAAATCTGGGTCGTTAAACACATTTGATTAGAAGTTTTAGTTCAGCTGCTCTTCATTTAATTGAAAACTTTGTGAAATTTAAGGCATTTTTTTGGTCATAGTGACGTGTTGTATTACGTATTACCTGTGTGGCTGATCCAGAATTTGTTTACAATTCTGATACCTTTCACGGAAGTGGAATTCTAAGTATATTCTTTTACAGCAATAAATATCTTCAAAAACCGAACAAGTTTTGGCGCAATGTGTCGTCTGTTAATGTGTTATGGTTTAGTGACTTTCAAAAATGTATGAAAGTCACCAGGTACAAGTTACAAGGTAGTGAAAGGGATCTGCAGATGATATTAGTAACCATTCACTTGGTCCAGATATCAACTTCAATACTAGTAACAACTAAATCTCCTTCATCTCCTGGAATTTTTTGATAAATCCGTATTCATGTTTACAGCCAGTCTAGCTAGTGTCTTGTGGATTCTTGCCAAGTTATTTTCACTCTTGTTCACTTTCCTATTAAAAACCAAGGTCTGTTAATGTGATGTTAAACAAATTGGCCATTTGTTTGTGTTAGTGTAACACAACAAAGGTATATATACAACAGTTTGGCTTATTCTCAGTTTGCTGAGTAGAGCAGAAGAATACAAATTCACTAAAGAATACAAAATTTGACCTGCATGAACCTAAACAATGGGAGAATAAAAGCAGACCTCTTTAACTCTTACAGTATAATCTTACAGCCCCAGAATAGTCTCAGAAATAATAATATTTGAGAAGATTATTTTGAAAAATACAGCACTATGGAAAACTGAGCAAAATGAAGGCTGTTCTGAGGCATGATCTGCATTCCTAACAAGATTAAGTAACTACATATATGTTATTCACCAGATGGGAAGTCCGTATTGGGAAAAACTGTGTCCTCTATCTTGGATACCACCAGGCCATAGGCCTCAGGCAGTACATAAGACAGAGGGCACAGTTTTTCCCAATATGGACCAACCTTGGATGGTGAATAACATTTTTATTTCTTTCTAAAACCTAACAAATGGTTTTGAAAAGAATCTGAATGATAAAGGGCTATAATTATGGCAAGATTCTCCATAAACGGAACAATTTTTGTGTGAGTAGATGGTAGAGAAAACAAGGGCAATGCAAATGAAAGCGAGTGGTTTCATCAAAACATATTTATTTGCATAATGATATTAAAAGGTGATTTAAAAGGCTTCCAAGAAAACTTCAAAACATTTTTTTAAAAGTATCTGTCACAATCTGACACCTGTCGATTTAAGAGCGCATAGGGACAAATCACATGCGCATTTTTTAGCAAACAACAGTTCTGGTTGTCAGCGTGGAAAACAAATTCAAGCTAAATGACTCTGCAATGATGAAATCTTCAATGAAAAAAGTCAAAGGATCCAAAGGAAGTATTTTCCAAAGACAATGGATTAAGTTCTGTTAACTAATCCAAGGCTTTGCTCTAAGGAAAATTTCAGGGAGCCCTTTGGGCTCCCAAGCGTTTTAGCTTGGGTGCCCAGGCCTAAAAGATGGTTGCCCAAATCAAAATTTTGGCTGAGGTGCCCGGGCCTCCTAGTTGGTCACCCAAATTAATAAATCAGTCATTTATTTATTGTTTTTATGTTCACGAAACATCGTATCCTTTGACCTCCTGAAAACCTATCAGTGAAATGTTCAAGACAAATGAGCTTTTTGTGGATTTGGTTGATTTTATTTTTAGTGCGTGATACGTAATAACTTGTCACACAATGCGGGTTACAGATTGAAATCCCTAGGGTGATGTACAAAGTGGGAAAGGAATCAGCTCAATACAGAGGCCCTGTAATCTGGAATTTTATAACTAGGTTGGTAATTTTTAATGCAAATGTTCCAAAAGACAGTTTAAAAAACATTTTACATAGGCTCTCACAAAACATAAATAGCTTCTTATTCGAAGCACCCATAATAGCTATGAAAGACCAAGATTTTGTATATTTTTAGGTATTATTATACTGTACATAAATTTCTAGATTAGTTTGAAACTTTACTTTGTCAATGAACCTCATTTTATTGACTTGTACTGAATTCTAATACCATAGGGTGATTTTACAAATTATTTTGTTTATTATTTTACATTTTATTAGTTAATTGTAGGTCCACATCAGCCTCATGGCTGCCACTTTTGTAACCTGCATCACTAAATAAAATGATTGACATATTGATTGACTGATTGATTGACTCATTGATTGATTGATTAATTGATTGAAGTACATCAGTTATAGTCAAAACTGTTGTTGTCGCAACACAAAAGTGGGAGAGAAATGAAAAGACTGGAACAACCACATGGCCTAAATTTTATGGCATGTGCTTGTTTTGCACCATTTTTTTTTTTTTCATCAAACATTTTTATCAGATTCTGCATGCATGTTCTACAAAACATGTATATTTTTATTACTTTGTGTAAGTGATAGATTAGTGATGGATTTTTTTCACAATGCCACACTGCTGTAGCAACCTGGAGTTGAAACCAAATATAGACTATCCTCTCCTCTGTGTGATCACAAATGTGATGTAGTTTGAATGGACTGGCTATTCAAGATTAGAACATCCAAATTCCATCCTGCAATAACACTTGACAATGACTTACCAAAACCTGCACAGTTCTTATTATGGTGGTTGATTTGCTATGAGTGGAAGTCAAGAAAATCTAAACTCAGCCACAGCAGAACAGTTGTGACCATAATTAAAATATTTTGATACTAGAAGTCAAGAGCTTTCTTGCATACCATGATTTATACCAGTGATGCAAGATTTGTCCTTCATGAATCAGCACAAACAGGACATAGTTTGATTCCAGTATTTAGTTCCTTGAATTATAAGATAATTAAACTACCTGTTAAATTTCTTAAAGAGAAATTGAGATTGCATTAGTAAGTATAACTTAGGTTTAGGATTAGGAATATCAAACACAATCATCATGAATCATCCTATAATTTTTCACTTTGGAGTGAAAAGCATGGTTACCACTTCTCAGCAGTGGATTGCTCACTGAACTGAAATTCTTTTCTATTTGACAGGGACCTGGCGGATCCTTGGGAAACCAGAATCCATCCCAAACATTCCAGTTGCCGTCAGGTCAGCAATACTCTACACCAGTACCATCGTCTCCAGGTCAACTCTACCAAATGCCTCCTCCTATTTCAGGGCAAGTTTCTCAAAGCCCAGTGTCAAACCCTGGTCAACCTTTTCCAGTGTTACCTGACCAGCCAAACCAAGTGCCTCCTGGTCATTTAAATCACATGTTACCTGGTCAATCCAGTCAGATATTATCAAATCAACAAAACCAAGCTCCAGCTCCATCAAGCCAAATGCCACTTCCTCAACCAAGCCAACTGCCATCTAGTCAGCCAAGTCAAATGGTTTTCAGTCAGCCAAATCTAATGCCATCTAGTCACCCAAACCAAATGCCTTCTGGTCAGTCAAACCAAACGCCACATGGTCACCCAAGCCAAATGCCACATGGTCAGCCAAACCAAATGTCATCTAGTCAAGTAAACCGAGTGATCCCCGGTCAACCAAATCAGATGGCTCCTGGAGGACCGCTTTATTCAGTACCAGGACCAAGTCCTTCCCAACCTTATGAGGCACAGCCAATGATTCAAGGCCAACCACAGCAGACTCAGAGATCAGATTCTAGTCAACCATATCAGATACCAATGTCTGCTGCTGGTCCAACTTATGAAATTTCATCCCAGAACACCAGTCAGGCATATCAATTCCCTGCTGTTAATTCTGTGTCGGCCTTAGGTGGGTCAGCAAAACCTGGTGTTCTTCGTCAATCAAGTCAACAATATCAAGCAACACCATATCCAGGTCAACCATATCAGATGCCTGCTTCAAATCCTGATCAGTTTTATCAACCTCAGTCTTTGAATCCAAGCCAACTTTACCCTGGTCAGCCTGTGCAGAGTCCCTTGCCTCCCTCGCGAACAAGCCAAGCATACCAAACTCCAACATCAGCTCCTGGTCAACCATACCAGGTACGACCATATCAACCTTCACCTCAGAATCAAGGCCAGGGTCCACCACAACCTAATGCTCAGACAATGCAGGCAACAGGACCAGGAGGGTATCAAGCCTATCAGACACCAGGACAGGTTCCTAATCAAGTGCAGCCTTCAGGAAAGCCACCAATACCATCTGTAGTGGGTGCTGCTACTTCACAGCTCCAGCAACAGCAGCAAGTAATGCCACCCTCCCCTGTACAACCAAAGTCACCTGGAGCACAATCCTATCATCATCATCATCATCCATACCAAAATAATTATAATTACTCCTCACCTCATACACAAAGTATCCCAGGAAATAGAACTGTGAAACAAGAAAATCAAGGCTATGGCCCAACTCCTGTGGGACAACCACTACAAATGATAGATGGAAGAACTCAGTCCTATGCTCAAACTGCTCCATCCCAGGCTACCCAATGGGCTCCTCCATTTGCAAATCCTGCCCCAACCTCTGTGTATGGTCACACATCTCCTTACCCAGGTGCTCCTCCAGTGTCATATGCAACTGAACAGTCAATGATGCGGCAGTCACAACCCCAACATCCACCACCTGGTTACCCTCCTAATTCTTATGCAGTTGGTTCAGGATACACAAACCTGGGTCAACAACCAGGCTTCCCAGGCAGACAACCCTATGCACAGTCAGCTCCTCAGATGTATGGCTCAGGTTATCACCAGCCTGAACCTCGGAGTCAATACACAACACGAAGGTCACCTTTATCAGATGCTAAAATTAATTCAATCGATACACTGCTTTGTCATGCAGAGGAATTGGAACCAAGAGTTTTATCTTTTTCAGGAACCAGAGGTCAGTTAAATATTGTTTTGTCTTCCTTTTGATTTCTCAACTCAGTTACATGTGGATTGTGAATTGTATTAGATAACTTGAGATCAAGCTCAGATCAGAGGATAAGTGGGTTAGGTGCTTGTATTGTCATCATTTAAAGACTCCCAGCAGTTGAATGTACAGCTGGAGATCAGGATTGTCTTAAATTGTTTTGTTGCAAAGTTAACTGAAGGACTTCTAGAGAGGATTGCTACCAGTATATACCTCTTGCCAACCAAGTGCAGGGTCAGCCCTGTAAGTTATTGGCCAAGTTTTTTTCCCCTCAGCTTTAGGGTTCATGTGCAAAGCACTTGGTACAAAAATCCAAGCAGACACTGGATCAGTATCTTACGTTACAGACCTCAAACTCAGTAAGATATTTTTTATATCTCTGGGTTCGAATAGAGGAGAAATTTCAATTCAAACAAACTCTCCAAATTATTTGTTTAAAAGATAATGATGCATCAATTTTGAGACTCTTTCAATTCTTAATTCTTTGATTGATTATATATTTAATGATATTGCTTTTTTAAAGGTGACAGAGAGTTTATTTATCTTGATGAACAACTAACAAAACTGATTTTGGATCTTGATAAAGTACAGACAGATGGATTAGAAGATGTACGAGTGGCTCGCAAGTCAGCCATTCAAAGAATACAATTTTTAATTGATACTTTAGAGAATAAAGGCTGAAGAAGCTCCAGAAGTCATGTAAGCCTGTCATCCATTTAACAAGAATTCAATAAAATTATATGTTATTCTAGAAGCTGTGAAGTAGGTTTGACTAGTCATAAATCGTGATTGCTCTCTGCTGTGTGATATCAATATTTTAGCAGCATTTTTTTCCTTCTTTATCTCTGTGGTTTTGACACCAAATTACAGGATTAAGCCAGGTAGGCAGCTTCTTCATGGAAATATCCCACTTTGACTTAGTTAGAATAAAATGAGCTGTACAAGACATCAGAGTAAGAGTAAATTTTGGATGTTTCTATTAACAAGTTAGTTTTGCCCCTTGAATATTAGGTATGTCATTTAAATCTATTGGGGATGTTTCTATTAACAAGTTAGTTTTGCCCCTTAAATATTAGGTATGTCATTTAAATCTATTAGGGGCTGATAAAGCATACAGATATATATTGAAGAAACATTTCTGCTAGGAATCAGTTTTAAAAATTATTTTACATTTTCTTAGAGGGAAGTAGCGAGCATTATTTTTTTATTTCTTTTATTAACTGTAACGAAGGAAACGACTAAATGTAAGGAGTACTCCTGTTAGTTAAGTCACAAAAGTTTTAACTCTAGGTTTTAATTACAGATTTTTCTGACCTTTATACTTTGGCTGAATTTTTAAAGTGACATTTTCACTGTACTGGCTCTCAAACTGATACACTCTTCCAATTTTTTGGGGGACACAAATTTACCGTTGAGCTGCAGTTGAATCCTAATAATGGTAATGAGTTACAGGTTACTGTCAAGATCAACATGTGACTTTTCACATGGAGAATTGGAAGTAAGTAAAAAGCTTCTCCAAACTGTTCCTAGTACTTGAGGTTCAGTAGCAATCTTGTCATGTTTTATTTTGGAGTTAACATCTGGGCTGTGCAAACAAAAAACACAGCACTAGTAATAGTGTCCATACAATCAGTAAATTTCAAAGGTATAGCAAATATTTTACTCTTGTCAATAAACTGCCACATAGAGTAAGTGTGCTGATAATTATAAATTAATTATTGCCACCACCACATCCTGAGGGAAATGCTCTATAGGATTCTAAGTGTGGGTGTAATTCTCAGTAATCCAAAGCCTGATCCTATTTCCAACCAAAACATGCCATTTTCCACACCCATTTCACACACCAGCCTTTAAAATCCCCTCTCACTTTCTGTCATTTTTGATACAAATTTCCTAGTAGCTTTATTGAAGGCAAATTAAGCATTACATTTTTGCAATTATTTTTCTTTGCTATCCATTCTTACCCTGCTGAGGATTGCTTGCAAACCATACCCCATTTAAAACCATGATGGTCGAAATCAATGCCTGTTTTTAAACTGAGAATTTCCCTTCAGGCAACATACTTGTACAGCTTAAAACCTAACAGAAGTTATCATCAAGTGACTTCCATTGTCTCTGTTCAGGTTAATGAAATACAGCCATTCATCAATTCACAATAAATTTTGCAAGGGGTTTTTAAAGAAAATGTGACATGAAAAGACATGATATGTAAAACGTTTCAACTGTATAAAACAATGTGAAATATAGTTTGTGGGAAAATAATGCAATTTTAAACATCATTAACTCAAAAACCCTCCCCAAGTTGTTGCTCTCAGGTAATAACTTGCATCTTAAAGTAATGGCCATTGTGGATACATTTAGCCACATCTTTTTTCACCCAATATAATTTTTATTTTCTGCAATCTACAGGGGATAATTTGCATGCCAAAATTACACAATAACGACGTAGTTCATTGTACTAGTTCAAGGGCTGAAGACCATCTTTACATAGTCCATTGACTGAAAAGCAATACCATGTTCTTGGAACATGTACGTAGTTATTTGCCTGATTATGTGAAATTCATGCCCATTGCAATTCGGAGGAATCACCTTGAAGTTATCTCAAGCAAGAACATGTTCTTCAGTCACAGTTTTTAATGACACGAGGCTGCTACAAAACTGACACAACATCAAACTTATCATCAGTTTGACTTGTGGGCATACATATTTATCTCAGCAATTTCTTTCTTTAAAATATGGGTACAAATGAAATTTTGTCACTACATATGTACCTAAGACACCCGAAGGAACAGTGGAAGATATAACAACAATTTACGCAAATCTACATAAAATTGACCCACCAAACAGCAATGGGATCTAACTCATTATTGTCTTTTCCCTGGTTTAAATCTACTTTTGAGTTTTGATTCTTTAAACTGTGGACTGATATCTATGAGGCCTGCATCTTTCATTAAATTCCGTGCACAGTTGTTATAATGCTTAAATCTGTCAGGCCCTAAAAGAATCCCACCATACCAACGGGTTACCACAACAACAACATCTCTGACATTTAATATTTGTAACAGGTGTAAAAGTCTTGAGCCCGCTGCTGCCTCACCATCATCATCACAGTCTTGAAGAAAACAGTTTCGGTCCTTACAAAATATTCTATATGCCATAACATTGTGGGTAGCATTGTTTACTTTCCGGTTTTTCTTTAACTCTTGTAGTACTCCTGAAACTTGATCCAGTATTATAACATGAGCAAGATGTGCTTGAAAAGTACTTTTCCTGTCTGTAAAAGGTTCCCCATGAGTAATCTCTGGGCACAGGTCTGATCTTTCACTCCTGATTAATTTCAAAGCATCCTCACCATTGCAACTGAGATTTGCTGTCTGATCCTTCTCAGAATCACCATCTTCAATTGTTTCTGATAATTTGATGTTCTCACCTAAGTCAGATTATATGATCAAAAAAAAAAAGAAAAGAAAAACAGTCAACGCTGCAAACAAGGATCTGTATTAGGGAAGGTACGTTTTTCCTTGGGGGGGGGAGGGCTGGGGCCTCAGAGGGGAGGGTCATCAGTGAAAGTGAGCACCAAAGGGGAAGGGCCATACCCTCTTTTTCAGCTATTCAAGGGGAGGGTCACACCTTTTCCAGAATTTTTAATGGAAATTTTTGTGATGTTATTTTCCATTTTTCTTTAACAGACTAAGTATTTTCTTTTCAACTTGTTTCTTTTAATTCGGTGCAGATACTAGTTTTATAAGGTTACTGGGTGTCTACATGTATATTATTCCATGGCACATAATTTTCTCGGAGTACTCATGTCCTTTTCCATCCGTATCATGACGTACTTGACTCGGGTATGGTTTCTTGTTCCAGCTGTTGTCTATCCACTGCCTGATCTCCTGAGTCATTAAGCTCTGAAGAGTTACTAGAAGATCCAACAATGCCCTCTACCCTGTTGCTGTCACTGTCACTGGATTTGAGTCAGAGGCTAGCGGAATGTTTGTCTGTTTTTCCTGCACAATTGAAGTCAAAATCTTACTTCCAATATGAGCCTTCACAACCCTCATCTCCAAATCTCCATGATCTATTACATAGTCTTCGTCATTCAGAGTTTCTTCATCAATGTTTAAAATTCTTGTTTTAATTGACTTTTCATTTTCTGCGTAGCGTTGGCATTTGCATTTATCGGCTTTACGGCGATTCTGCTTCTGCTTTCTTGACTTTCTTTTGGGAGCATTTCCTTGGCGAGGGAAAATTCTTTCAACTCATTGTTTAGCCTTTTGTAGTAGCTCCAAAGCAAAATACAAGCAAAATGTCGAAAAATGTTCTGAGGTTTCTATGGCATAGAGCATACCATGTGGTAGTGAGGGGAGGGTCACACTTTTGTCAGTCACCTAAAAGTGGGGGGGGTCAGGAGTTTTTTAATCAAAACATGAGGGAGGGCCAACACTTTCTTTTGGAAAAAATACCAAAATTCCCCAGCCCTCCCCCCCCAAGAAAAAACGTACCTTCCCTTACAGTTGTAAGTCTCAAAAACATTACACAGAAATATCAATATCACAGTCTTGCTATTAGTCTCTAGAATGACCATAATTTCCCCACATACCTTATCTACAAACTTAAAGTGGATCAATTCTAATGTAGACTACTCTAAATATTGAATCAAATTATTTATTTTGAAGTGCAATGTTCCAATGAATTTGAGGGGCTTTGCTGGAAAATTGAATACTACAGAAAGAGATATCACCATAGTTAAAAATTGTTGATGTGAAAACTTTAGGAGTATTTCATCGGCACCGCAATTAGAATTCTCAAAATAAGATGTTTGAAATTAAAACAAATTGATTTGCATCACTCATGCATGTCAGTTTTGTATACTTACCTTTTGATATCTATTATGATCACTTTTGTTATATTAATTACTGAAACTAATTCAAGCCACCTCCAACTAGGCTCGCAAACAAAGAAATTTCATTCTGTGGACTTTGCCTATGCATAAATTAAGAAATAATATCGAGTAATTGCATCATCCCTACTCTTAGCTTCCAAAATCTTTCTTTGTAATTATTACCTCCCAATAAAAACGGACAAAAAGTATTGGCTTACCGTGATATTTAAGGGAAACATCACTTCTCGATCCTTTGGCATCAATCGGTTCTTGATCATTAAATTTTTTATCAATGAAAGTCCTCAAGGCCTCTACCCACTGATAAATTATAATCTGACCTTGATGTTCTCGGTAAATGGTATATAACAAGTCTGAGGCTTCAAACATATCAGCATCACTCATCCAGGCGGAATGAATTTCGAATACAGGGGGAACCCGGTCTGGGTATTGTGGCGGTAAAAGGACTTGCAGAGTAGCTGACCACCAGGAATCACTTTGGTGGCAAATGCGGATTTCATAGATTCTGTTAGCTTCGTCGATGACAATAAAATCTTGATCATAAATAGCTATTAACGCTTCGATTTCTTCAGCTTGTTCGGCTGAAGTCTCCATTATATTCAAGGATTTCCCGTACTAACAGTAATTTTTGACGGCTGCGTCTGTTTCTGGATAAGGCTTTTTCTGAGTTTATTTGACGAATGATCAATTGTCATTGAGATATCCCCAACCAACAAGTAAGTGTTGCACACCAGCGGTCCGCTGATGAACGTCCGGCAACGTGGCGAGTTAACGCTGGCGCGTTCGCTGGCGTCTGAGAGGACGATAACATAGTTTGGCCCCTTGTTATTATTCGGTGGTTATACCGCTGAAAAGAAGCCAAATTTTCGTGGGCTCAGAATTGAAATCAGCCAAAATGGAAACCACTGTGCTTATAACCAGCGGTATCATAACAGTTTTTTGATTTGTAACTTGGATCTTGAGGTGTACCTAGAACATGGCGAATACTCCATTTTACAGAGTTCTTGGCATATGGAGTGTTGTTCTTCTTTTTTTAATCTTCTTAGTCATTCGACTGGATAAAGAAACAGACTGGTTCTGGTTCATCATCTTCATACCATTTCTGATCTTTGATTGCTTAGTGATTTTTTACATTATGCTTCGAATTTGTCGTCACTTAAAAGATGGCGTAGACCCGAATCGTTTTACCATCGCAAGGAAGTTTTGGTTCTTGTTCCTGGTTGCTGCAAAACTTAGTTTTATTATTATACTGTGTTGCAGACTTGAGGATATCATAACTGCATCGTATTTCGTGGTGTTTATTCCTCTATGGATATTCCTATTGGGCCTCGGTTGTGATGCTTCTGTGTGGGTTTGGGTTTTAGCGAATGCCAGAGGATGATAAAGATTAGTTAAGAGATTTGGTGACGGTCAAGATGAAGATAACATAAGTGTTCTCAGTACGTTATCTAGATAAAGAAGGCATCATATATGCCATGTCATCAGCAAGTTCGCCCGCAAGTGACCTCAAGAACAACAACAGGATTGTCAATAACGAAACCATGGCGAGGATCTCTATTTTACTTTAAATAAAGAAACTCTTGTGAGTTTTGACTAAATTGGCAATTGTACAGAACCTTTTTTTAAGGGGTCAATTAAACAAGAATACTTTCAATCTACTATTTAAGATACAAACGGATCAGAAATTTCACAGAACTTTCGTGCCACTGAGACATGGACTCCGTCTCCTCATCATGAAAATAACATCAAATGAGGCTAAAATAATGATTAGAAAAGTTACCTTTCGATTGCATTAGATATAGCCTCACACTAGACAGATTCTATAGACTCATGCCTCTCCAAATAAGGTGCCAAACAACAAGACTCATGAGAGAAACTGGGGAAAATCCTCTTACAAGCGGGATTGTCATTATGCTCAAAAATACTTGTATTGATACAAATAATCATTGTGAATAAGCTTTGGAATAAATATTGAAAAGATGAATGATAATTTTTAGGGGTCTACAGAGCCATTTGTTGGTTAAGGGTTAAGAGTTGAGAGTTGCTTCATGTGTGCATATAACAAGGTATTGGTTTGGCTTTGTTTTGTGATAATTCTCAAATTGTGTCATAGTTGTCCATTTGATGGCTTTTACAGAACTGAGTTCCGGTATCTTAGCCATGTATGTAAGTCTCTTCCATGGCTATGACTAAGAACAAAGACTTTCTCGGTTAGAGACAATCCTACATGTGTCTGTTGATAACATCTTTCACCCATACCTCCCTTGGCTAAATAAGAGAAAATGAAAACACAAACATTCTACATGCATGGGGGAGCTACTCAAGTTTTAAACTGATGGAATACTAAGGAGGTGTTATTGATTTTTTAGTCAGTGATAGACTCCTGGTAATGCCTAATTCTGAGCACCCATGAAGGTAGGTATTAAAGAGATAATTTGGTTTATAATGTAAATAAACCATTGTGAGGAGCTTCTACAGCTGTAGCGTCAAGCATTAGCTCTTCATCAGTCTCAAAAAGATTTTATAGGCTCTAAAGTTTTCAAAATGAGGTGTTTCCTGTAGACTTTTAACTGACTTTGATGCTGCGTTTATTTCAGATGTTTGATGACATGACGGGACTCTTTGCGGGTCAGCATGTCACCCTAGTGAGGTTTCGGGAACCTGAAGACGCAGTCAGGGTGGGAAGCGGAATTGCTCAGGATCTCAAGATGGCGGACGGAGCAACACAAGAAGAGGCGTTTGAAGAATGGCTTAGCTCTCGTATGAAACAGTTAGGCCTCGATGAAGACGTATTTGGAAGCTATATCACAGGAGTACTAGATTCTGAGGATACGGACGAAGATCGCAAAGACGCACTCAAGGGTATTTTAGACGGAATGACGGTAAGAAATACTCGGTGAGGTGCGTGAGGCACGTGTATGGGGAACCTCAACCATCAATTTAGCCCGACCTTATTGGTATCTATCATCTTACGGGAATTTTTGTTTTAAATTGGAGATTATGTAGCTGCCATTCTTGGGTACGGCGAGATCTTTCTGTTGTTTTTCAAAATTCTTGTGACTATTTAATAGATTTCCAGCTTTGTGAAAACATTTTGAAATTGCAGCAATATCCTCTGAACGACCTCTGCAATGAAGTCATTGAAAGATGGAGAACATCAAGGGCAGAAGTGTTACAGGAAAAGGAACTCGAGAAAGGTACTAATGAAAAACAACCAGGCAATCATTTTGGCAAACAAGTGGAGTAACTTTGAAATATGAATTAATAATAATCAACATGAAATGACTGTTCCTTAGGAAAACAATTAATTTTGTTTGAGATTTAAAAGACCATCTACTAGTCGATTTCTTATGTATTAACAAAAAGACTGCAAAAGATGAACAAAGATGAAAGTGAAGACAAATCAATAACTTCTTCGAAGTAACTGTCACACAGATCATCATAAGCTTATAACTCTAAAATAGATCAGATAAATATTTTGTTCAAAGTAACTGACCCACGAAAATTGCTGCAATATTAGCCATCCAGTTATACCCAGAGTGACCCATCTGTTGAATTAACACACCAGCCAAAGGGTTCAAGTGAAGAAAGTGGTGGAGTAGTTTCTACATTACTGAGGGATTGTCCCCTATCATTCACTTCCTCGCTTACTCTTTGATTGTTTTGAACAAGCAATCTGACGTCCTCTATGTTTTAATGAAAATGCAGTAATTGAATTTTGATGATCTTACATAACTGCTTTTCAATTGATAAAATCTTGAACGAGGTACATGTTGTTTGTCAATGAGGTACATGAAGTTTGGATGTAAAATCTTATTTACACTTCATCTACAAACAGAACAGAAAGCAACAGAAAAACAGAACAGACTTGCTGAAATAATGGAGAAACAAGCCTCAACAGTGTCTTCAAGAAAATCCACCCAGGCTGATGCTGACAGGGAAGTTAAGAAGCTCTTGCTTGCTCAGTATGGACATGAATCAGATGAAGACTACTGATATCCTTTTTGTTTCTGTTTTAACATGTGTGAGATGTACATCATGTTTCTTCTAATCAATGTATGCTTGAATGTCACTTTTATCAGAGAAAAGGGTGGAAAAGGAAGGCCTCAAATCATGCTTACAGGAAATATGATCCAATGGTTTGTGAAAATTTGCCAGTCAAAGAATTTTTTATTAAAAATGGGGTATTGATTTATAGTTATTCAAGCTTGCATTAAGAGGTTATGTCATTATAGTGCTATGAAATATTAAACATCTCAGTTAGGTATGAACCATGTCACTATAGTCCTTTCTGATGTTTTATTTGCAGTTGGCCCTTCTGTATCTCTTATTTCCATATTGTATTTGACATGTTTTTCATACTATTCTTTTTTTTCTATTATGCTAATATGTTTAAGAATTTGATCAAAGAAACTTCATGTTGTTCACTAATATTTGGCTCTAGAAATTTATAATGGAACTTACTAATTATTTGCAGTGAAAATTTTTGCCCAGAGTATTGATAGTAAAATTAAATGATATAAATTATTATTTGTTGGATGTTACTCATTAGACGTCCTTAACCTTTTACCACTACTGAGAGTGATGATGAACAAGCTTCATGTTCTTCTGCTGAGAAGGATTTAGGTTTGTATCAACAGCTCTTTGATTCTCAAACACTGATAATTTACATTTTTATCTTTAAATCTGGTGGAGTAATCTGGAGCCAAGGGATGGATTTTAAAAGTTATATTGCTGGATTAGTCAGATAAACTTTTTCTATTTCTATCAACTTCTAGATAATTGGCATGGTTAGATTCATCTCCATACATGGATGAACAAAATTTGTTTCTGTTTTTGCTTTTTGTAAAAATCCTCCTTTACCTAATATCCTCTCTGTTTTACTGTGGTATATTTGGGTTAAACCATAAGTTTGTGGACGCCAATTATGTCTTTGCTTGCCTTTGTGTTAATAATTTAAGACTAAGTTGGATGTTGATCACTTCTGACTGTCAAGGTATTAATTTATTATTCACTAAGAGCACCTGAGTTTGTAAAGACAGCAAGGGTCAACTTGCCCACCAGCTGGGCATCAGTGATCAAATAACTGATGAAGAACATGTTTAAAGATTTAAAAATGTCATTGCACATGAGCATTATAGAGCAATATTTGAACAGTGCCTCGCAACTTCTCTAAATTAACAGGAATGGTAAAAAATATGAATACACAATCTGTAGCAGATAAAGAGAAAGACAAGAGAGATAAGATGAAGGAAGAAAGTGAACAGAGAAAACAACAGATAAAAGAAGCAAAGGAGAAGCAAAAACAAAAAGCAGATGAGAGGAAAGAAAAGGAAAGGAAAAGAACTCAGAAAGGAGAAAGACGAACCAGATGACACATACTGGTACAAGAATAATGAAAAAACTTTTTTTGCATAGTTCTTGTGTCGAGATGGATACAGATGAAGCACAGCTTTTTGTTCTTTAAAAAATTTTTTTTCCACTTCAAATTGTGTGAAAAGTTTAATTTGTTAATGCCAATTTGCTTTTGGTTGGGGTTTATGAGAGGAGAAGACTATTCACTTTTCAGCTTTTTTCTACTTATATCAAAAGTTGTAATTTATTATTCATAGATTAGAAGGAAAAAGCAAATTAATGTTATAAAAAGGGATGATGTAGGCAAAGTAATGACACTGTAAAACATGAAGAAAAAGAGATATTAAAGATATTTTTTCTTATTCAATAAGTGGACAATAACTAGTTTGAGGATGATTTAATAATTGATGCAGACTGCAAGCATGTGTTATTTTACTCCCTTTTCTGAGGAGACTCAAAGCAAAATATAAAAATTACCTTTAGCTGGAATTCCAAATAAAATAAATTATTTCAAATAAGAACTCATGAAAATGTTGGGTTGGATGTATGATAGAATTTAGTTGCAACATGAAATCAATATTATAAAATTCAAGCCTTTATTTGGGTTTAAATCAGTGACCTCAATTTTACCTTTGATGTGTCTTTTCAGCAACTTAAGTATGGGGCTAGTGCACAACCAATATGTCAGTAATTCACATTGAAGCCCACTCTGGTTTGTAATCAGGCTTACCTCCATGATCATTCTCAAGGGAGAAAGATGTGCATATATGTTAATGCTAAAATCATAAAAAAAATGTATGTTTTTTGGTTCTAGCTAGGGTTGACATAGAGTAAACATCAGACAGCAATGCTCTCAATTTGTGTTCATTAAAGTACTTTCAGGCAGATCTCAACCTCACCAGTATTATTAGCTCATTAGCAATAAGATGATCAGCTCACTTTGGAATCTGACCATTTTTTATCTAGTTTCTCCTTTCTTTCCATCTTTTCTAGAGTCAGGTCATTCACCAGTAATCTCTACCTTGCCATTATCTTTTTTACAGAATAGTCAAATCTAGGGTATCTGAAAAATTAACTGGCCAGAGGAATCCCCTGTCATTTCCAGGCAGGTGTGTGCAGTGGTAACTTTGATGTCCACGGCCCATTTATACCCAAACAAAACCATACCTTGTGCCAGATTTGATATAAATTTTGCAGATTACCACCATTACTCCCCAAATCAATGCCACTTATGCTCATTAAGTATCACCTTATTGACAAAATTATGATAAAAGGTGCGACACAATTTGAACGGTAAAATATTTTGATAACTTTGATCAGTGAAGTGCCATTAGACCAAAATCCCTTGATACTGTAATACATAATACATCCCGGACAAACATCCCACCCGACCCGCGGAATAGCTATTTAGTGCACGAGAACGAGTCTGACGAGCCAAAGCGAGGTTTAATGCCCTTTGCGTGTCTTTTCGAAATTTCATCATGGCCGTGACAGTACCTAATTTCCTTTACTTTTTTCGAATAGTCAGTGGAACTAATATTGTAAAATACGTTTATTTGTTGATGAGCATAGCTTCTTTGCTATGCGGTCGTTCACAAGGAGATTCTAGAGGTAAGTAAGTAGACAAAATAATTTAAAAAACAGAGCAGGTTGAAACCATTTTAACTCGGAATGTATGATGAAGCTGTTTGATTTTTCTTCCAGAATTTAAATATATTACTTGTGGGAGTGTTTTAAAGCTAGTCAATCCAAAGCACAATGTTAGACTCCATTCCCATGAAGTTAAGTATGGCTCTGGAAGCGGACAACAGGTAGGATTGAGCGTACGTTCTGCGTCAGTTGGAGCGAATGTGATGATCTCCCTTCTTGAAAATATCCTCAGCATGTTTTGCTGTGATGTTCCTCTGTTAATTTTATGGCAGAATGTTTGGAAAGACAGCAGATAGTGTACGCTCAAAATAAAATGTGTCCAAGCTGCTGTAACATCCCTGTCGTTGTGATCGAGAAATTCTAGTTTTTTTCCAAGTTCGCTTTCAATGCCCAAAACAAAGTACAATTGATGAGCTTACTGTTGGTATTCATCGAAAAAATTGGACCGACAGAAAAGGGATAGTTTCCCCCAGACATACCTAGATTTATGTCACGATTTTTATTTAAGTGTATTATATGGAAAGGGACTCTGGATAGCGGGAGAGGACGCCTTGCGTTACTTCTTGTCTTCAGGCGTTAATTTTAATGAGATGCACTGTGCGTGGACGCTTCTGATTTGTGTTTGGTTTTCCGGTTTCCAACCTGTTGAAATACGCATGTTAAGCGGAAGACTGGGTTTTTTAAAAAATTACTCACCGAACCAAGGGTTAGCATCGAATTTTGACGTAGTTCTGTAGCTTTGAAGTAGAGACTACTATTCGTTGTGGCCAAAAGCCCTGCTGTCCTGCACGGTCTTAAAGGGAAAAAGTAACAAATTTCCTTTCACAAGTTCGTCTAAAGTTCTTGAAAGTATCAGTGTTTGGTTGGAAATTACATTCTATTTTAAAAATTATGTAGCCTTTCTACACCCTAATCACTTATCCTTTTTTTCACATGGGGTTCAAAATCACCTTCAATGGAACCCTAATTTTCCACTCTTAGTGGGCTGGCTCTATTAGATCTATCATTAATGGGGTTTTTTAAATGCTGCTGCAGTATCACTTCTCTTAATTTTTTTCCTCACGTAGGTATGACAAGACAGACGATTGTAGACGGCATCTCTACAGTATACATTTGACTAAGAATTTCTGCTGATTAAACAAAATATTGCTACTTTTAGTCTGTTACAGGAGTGGACAGTGCGGATGACGGAAACAGCTACTGGGTTGTGAGAGGGAAAATGGATTCTCCATGCAAAAGAGGGTGAGTACCAAAGTAACCTACTCTAAGCATTAAGTCATTATAGTTAACAGTGGTGTAATGGCATAATTAGAGATCATGATGCAAAGCAGGGAGAAAAGGATGGTAGATGGGAAAGAGCAGCAGAAAGAGAAACATTCTCTTAAACTTATCAACAATTACAGATTTCACTAGACTTAATCTGGTGATATACCCTTGGACTGGTTAATTATTGTGACATGTCAACAGAAATATACTGGTACAGTCTAAGTAATGAAAGTCTTAAATCTGTACTTTTAAGAGGAAATGAAAGATATTCCTTTTTATTTTTCCAGGACTCCTGTTAAGTGTGGCAGCACAATAAGATTACAACACCTGGCCACTAAACGCAATCTTCACAGTCATCACTTTCAGTCACCAATTTCTCATAACCAGGAAGTGAGTGCATTTGGTGAAAATGGAGATGGGGATGATTTGGACAACTGGTCTGTTATTTGTCCTTCAAAGTTTTGGGAACGACAGGATAAAATTAGGTTCAAGCATTCAGCTACTAAAGTGTAAGTGCAGAACCTCTGATGTTCACTGTAAGCAAGATGAAGCTCCCTGGGAAAAGGGATAGTTTTCAAGTACCTTTTCCCATGTTAGCTTTATGAACATATTTTCTGTTGTCAAATATTGGTTAAACCAAGGGCAAAAAACCTGGTTTTCCTCAATCTTTGAAGGTTGGAAAAACCACCAACCCTTGTCACTTCTGTCAAGATATTGTGTGTTTTTGTTTTTTTTGTTTTTTTGTTTTTCATCTGAACATTCACATGTCTTTTTTTCCCTTCTTGGTCATGACCTTGCATTGATATTCAACTGAGAACTTTTTCCCTTCAGAAAACCACATCACTCCCTCCCAGATGATATCTGCCTCAAAAGGATTATTAGGAAGCTCACACCCCGTGTAGATTATAACAGTGTGGAAATTAAGTCACTTTTGTGGAAATACCTTCTCTTCAAGAACTGGCATATTTGAAAATGTTCAATTTTTAAAAATTTTTTTTTTTGGAAGAGGGATGCAAGTTTACATACCCAGTTAGTAACCTTAATTTTACTGAAAACAATTTGCAACTTGGAGTAACCTCAAGGGTTTTAACTTTTAAGCTTTTGGGCAAAGACTGATTCAAGCATGTTCCTTTACTTTTCTTCCTAAACAGTTAGTTATTTGTTTGTATTTGTTTTCTCTCTTTAGTTATCTGCATGTAACTGGAGACCAGTTTGGCCGGCCCATTAGTGGTCAAAAGGAAATTAGTGGTTATAGTTATCCTGAAACAGGAAATGAATGGAAGGCAACGGTCAGTACTGGTGTCTTACTTCATTCTGTTATTTGCCTAACTTTATGTTCAGGAAATTATCATTTCGAGGAAACAACAAACATGTTAAACTTGTGGTGTTATTCATTTCTTTTTCTGCAAAACTATCTAATCTTATTATGTCCACGGCTAGTAAACATTTTAGGTTTCTTTAATCTACCCTGTCATTAATTTTTGGGGTTTAGTTTTATGTTGCTTGTTAAGTGATTGTAATCTTGTCCAGTGGCTTGGTGTAATGACCTGTTCATTTTTCTTTTAGGAGGGCATTTATGTCAAACCCACCAATTGATTGTAGACCTGATAGAACCCAGATTTTGCACTAAGTTGTACATTTAAACAGTTCTGGGACAGTACAACAGTGCTATTTTCTAAAATTCTGGTATGGACCACAAGGATTTTGATAAAGAATTGTTAGAAAAGCTTTGTGCAAGGAATTACATGGAATTGTTTATTAAAGAGCTGCTACAAAAAGATTTGTATCTATGAGCTTTCTTGTCCCTGCTGGATTTCAGACTCAGATACCAGAAACCCAGATGAGGTAGTCAGTAACATGCCCTTCCCTGCATTTACATATACATGTGGAATAGACAAAAAAATCAAGAAAAATAATGCATTGATGTATTTGGAAAAATTATCGTGATTTGTACATACTTAGTTGTATCAGAATCACGAGTCAGAATTTCTCTTTACTTTGTATGGCTCTTGGAGAATATGCAAAGGTGGTAACCTTTTTTTATATTGAATTATTGAATATAAAAGTCATTCAGCAGTACTGATTAAATCTGTCTACATTTCATTCCTGCGAGTTTCAATCTTGAAGATATGAGTCTCAAAAATAAACCAATCAGACAATCTTGCTGAACAAATGGTAAATGACGTCATCATACATAAGAGCTATTCAAAAAGGGGTACTCAGAAACAGAAACACTTTTAAAAAAAATACAGTACTCAAAATATGTAGTTTGTTGTAAAATCGTCCTCTTGCTTGACATCAGAAGGTCGTGAAAGATTGAAACATCTCAATGGGATAAAGATTTCAGCTTGTACCAAAACTCTCAGCTTTAGACAGCCGCTGACCTGTGTGCTGGTGAACGTTGTGTTGTAGAAAATTAAACAGGTGTAAACTGGTCCTGGGTTGTCAAACTCAATACAGTATGGCTGAGGTGCTTTTTCTGCCAAGTGTTCGAAAGAAATCAGTTAATCAAGGGCTCGGGTGATCAGGGAGATACTTGTGTACATGTGATACCGTTCCTAGATCGAGATAACCTGATAATTTATTAAAACAAAACCTGTCACACCTAAACCCCTCCGAGTAACATGCCGGTTTACGACCACATCATCCCAATGGAAATTTCTACCTATGTCCTTTGAGAAGCAATCGGCTTTGCATACGTGGATACAGCTACATTAGTTACCAAACATTTAAACAAGCTTCCATGTTGGTGTACCAAGTCAGTCCTTTGAAGTTTGAACTCTTTCCTCATATTGACTGTTCTCTAGTTCCGATAAATTTTCATACGACATAAATGAAAACCTTAAATTAAGGGGTGTTTACTGGATTGCAAATATAAAAAAAATTATTCCTACCAAATTTAGCCTTAACAATATCATCATAAGAAACTCTATACCTGAGTACGTATCAGTAAGGCGTGACTTTCCATCTGCAGACAAGGTGAATGGTATAACCTAATTCGAGCAAAACTCAACGTTCAATTCCTAAAAGTGTCAGGTTCATTAAGCAATACAGGGAAATTAAATTCAGTGTTAGCAGTGAAAAACTGAGTTTCTTACATTCTGTGTATCCACGCTTGACACATTCACACAAACTGGGAAAATAAGAATGAGTTTTTTTAGGCCCAGCTAATAATTTCGTAGTACTGTTTGAGTCCATAACCTGTGTAGACTAGTGTAATGGGTGAAAAAGCAATGGAATGCAATCTCCCATGGACGTAATCCCCGTCATAAGTTACTCTTCTACTGAAACAGCTGCGCCTTGGAGACACGACAGCGCGTGATCGATAGAAGACCCTTCAAAATGTATATGCAATCAGTGCTGTTTTTTTGTCTTTACTGAAATTTATAATAAGTGCATTTGAAATTTCTTACCTAACTCACTAAAGCGGTAGACAGAGATGGGTTGACAACAATAAAACGACGAATTGCCACTGACACATTCACAGCCATCAAAATTTGGATTATTCGCTGTAACTGGATCTACAAAAACAAAATAGAAGTTAGTCATGAAAGGGTTGATGATCAAGGCAAGTTCGGGGGAAAAAACAAAGGTTTCTCTAACCAACAGATTTCAGTGTGAAACTTGCCACCAAAGGAACAAGTACAGTGACCACGGATAAAGGAAATTTCACTTTCAGCAAACACATTAAGAAGATTTCTCAAAACAGTAAGGTAAGAAAATAATATGTCGCTAACCAGACAAAGAATGACCTTGCACAGATATTTGATAGTCACTTTCGCTTTCCGTGCGTCATTTCCGGCTGTTTGGTGGGTGAACGGGAGGGGGGGGTAGTTCTCCAATAAACTAAATAGCAAGGAGTGAGGCCTCCAGATGCAAAAGAAGAGAGAGCAGTTCATTTCATGTCATGCAAATGATAATCATCAGTACAGGAAGTACTTTACAACAAGGCGGCAAGTGATGGAGTTATTTGTCTACTTTTTTTATCTCTATGATTTCGCCTTTATTCTAAATCTGTGTAAACTTCGTACACCTATGCCTTCGTGTACATCTATCGAGTGTGACATGTTCAAACAGGTGCCGATCACGAGAGACCTTATTGCAAAGGTGAGGGTAAGAGGGTTAAGTAACTGGAACCGTGAAGACGGTGCTCAATTCAAAGGGCGGCTTTACAGAAAGGAAGATAGTTTTATTGCAGTCAGATCTTCTATTTGCTTATCTACCTCGAAGACTGAAATGTAATCCGATCTGTTTGAAGGTTGCAACTTTTATTTAGATATTAACTTTAAGCCGCTGTGACATCGCCATCATGAAAACACAAATTAACGTGTATATATGGAGCCTTTCTTCTGTATCGTTCAAAGAGCCACATCACTTCCTTATTCAGTTTTATTGTTTTAATCCACTTTACATACATTTATAATGAATGGTAAAGTATAGCAGACTGCCAAGAATGTCATTACCGATTACAATATCATTCTGTCAATCACACAGACATTTACTTGTTTGGTTCGGTAAGTCTTTAATTCTAGTCCTCATCAGAATTTTCAATCACGCGATTGTTGAAAAGGAAATCAAGTGGATTTTTTTTCTTTTGAGGCGACTTAGTTGTGTCTTTGCCAAGCATTTTTAGGAGCCACTGCCGAGTCTTGTTCAACATTTGATCCTTTGACTTATTAGAGCCGGCAAAGTGTAACAGCGAGTTGCCCTCCTTGTCCGAAGCCCTCCACTGCTCCTGGCCTTCCTGGGTTGGCAGATTGAAGCAGCCAAAGTCAAGATTAAAGAGTGGTACAATGAGATCAGCATATATCTTCAGGCATCCTCCCCACTTTCCCTCATCACCGTACGAGATGTTGTAATACTGAAGGCAGATGCACGACAGTGGACAAACCCCTTGACAAAAAGGAGGTGGATTTCTCGCTGAAAAAAAAAATGAAAAATATATATAAACAGGGATTAGGAAGTGACTTTTGCCTCTAGTTAACTCACACGTCTATTAACTTTCTTATTAAGCCCTCTTTGCAGAGGAATATGGAGGCGTTACCATACAACTGTCGACCCTTTTATCATCAGGACCGAATAATTTTGAATATGCATCCTTTTTTAGTATCAATGTATTGTCAAGCGAACAGGTAAGGAAAATTTAACAAAAACACAGCGCAAGGGGTTTATTTTGTTCAGTAACCCAAATTCTAGTGATTGACGAACATGAAAATGTATACCTTACCTGAGAGAGTTTCGTTGAACAGAACCTTGTCATCTAAAGTCCCCGTAAATCGTATCGCCTAAGAAATAAACATTCAGTCAATCACCAGAGAAAAACACATATGCCGAGCCTGACTCAGCACGGAGACTCTAAATATTCGGATAAATATTGAAATCAGTTGAGCGAGCTTGTCTACAGTTTGTTGATCAAGTTGGTAGAGGACGAGCGAATTTTCTCTAATTATCTTACCAGCACAAAAGCTGGGGGTTTTTTCAACTCTTTAAATGGACATTTAGTGTTTCTAATTTCTCCACTAGCTCTACAGGTTGTCTCGCAAACAGAGTGAATCTATAACGATTATCATGACTCACTTTCTCCTCCACTTGAAATGTCATGTTCATACAGGCTACAAAAAGAACAAAACACACTTCATCAATGACCACACTTTTCTGCAAGTAAGAAATCCTAAACGAAATATCTCCTCTAGTCATCTTCTCTCAGAGTGAACTCTACCAGGTGTTTTTAATAAACTTTTCAATCCCCTCGGTAAGATTACTGATGAAAGTTTTCAGACGTAAAACTAAATTCTCAGTCAGAAGTCTTGACAAGCACCAGTAAATATTCTGTGGCAAATCAGCGGTGGGTGGAGAATTTAATGATAGATGATGATAACACTTTTATGTAAATTTGAACTCGAACCCATAACTGACCTGCGAAAATCAGTATTAAGGCAATTTCATACTTATCTTAATTGGTTTAAAAGAGACTCACATTTCGTTTACCCCATTCTTTCTTTCTGTTTTATTAATCCTTACATGGCTAACATTAACATGCATATTCTCCATACTGTTCTCTCAACATTTCCTAAGGTACTTACAGGGAGAAATCGCTTAACAACCAAGAACTTCTTAAGTTGGTGATAATTTCCTTATTCTCGTGACCTTAATGTTTTATTAAGGGTTATATGGTTCGAACAACTTAGATCCCAGTCACTCTTACGATTCACAGAGTTAAGGTCTATTGACTCCTACCTGTGTGCTCCTTGTGGTCAAAATCAAATTTTGTGCAGCAGCCACACTGTGCAGTCGGTTCTTTAGTGCATCCACAATCACCATCATCGACAAAATCTGGTTCTGAAGAAAAAGAGTTCATTCCACCATTAATGAGCATTAAGCAGGGGAATGGGCAGTTATCATCGGCTGAAGAGACTGGGGACTGAGATTAAATTAACCTTTGATAAGAGAAGGGCTGACTCTGTCACTCTCTTCCTTTCATCCGCAATATCAGGTTACAATGGCTTGTAATTTTTCTTGTCTTGTATCAAAGGTTTCTCCTTGGCGAAAAACAACATAAAATGAAATGGACTATGTGAGAATGGAAGCTAAGATTTAGACTATGCCAGCCAAATACTTCTCGTTCGTCTCAAAGCGCATTTAACTGTCTGGGCGAACACTCATTTGTTCCTACGACTAATTCAATACTACATAGCCATGTAATCACTTCTCATAAAATCACGGATAATCTGGCATGCTTACCTCGTGCTTTCAACTGATCGACATCAAGCAAACTTGACTGGGCAATTCCAGTCAGGAAAAATGCGAGCAACCAAGACATGAACATCTTGACAGAAAATCTCTACAACGACCAACGCATTTGGCAGATCACGCGCTTCAATCTCATTTATATGACCGTCTGGTATTACACTTTGTGTGGATTCGAATTACATAACATATAGGGTTGGGGCAATGTGCTGTGCACCACTGTGGAAGGTTTTAATCTCAAAATACACGTGATCCAGGTTTTCTAATATAAACGGCGATATGGCATTAAAAAAGAGAGTTCTGCTTCAAAATAATAGAGGGTTCAACTTCTGAAAAGCCTTGTGTCCACATCAAAATGTGTCTCCCTTCAAACCGATGAATTATAACAATCTCAGCAGGAGAGTGCTCAACCATCGCGGGCCAAATTATTTTGATAAACAAGGTTCAAGTAACAGATTTTCTTGTATTTCCTTTAAATAACACAAAACATGGTAGGGATTTTATTCCCTTGGGAAACGGGAAAGGGCACGTCAACACGCAACCCGTGCGGGTAAAATGTACAGAGATTCCAAGAAGGTCAAAGTAAGACTTAAGACGGCTCACAGAACACTACCAAAGTTGGGGAGCTCAACTGATATAAACAAGAATGCTGTTGAATAGTTAAAATTCTTGTGGTTTTGATTTGTTATTTTGCCATCCCTAAAAGCGTGACAAGTTGTTTCGAAATTCAGTTGAAATGTTTGCTTGGATGGGTCTAACTGAGATTCGATTCCTTATCAATATGAAATTTGAAAGAACGTAAGCAGTTTGTTTCTCCTCAGTCACATGATGCGACATGATCCAAAGGGTAAGTGTTAAATGAAGAATGAAAAATCGAGACAATTGTCTACTAAGAACCTTCCTTGGGCGATTTCATGACAGGAAAAAATTTCGTTATGACGTCAAAGATATCATTTAACTTTTAAGTGACTCCAAGAGATAAAATCAACTGCCCTTTTTCTTGATATTGCGAAAACAGAAGCGAATGTTATTGGTTTGCCTGTGTCCTGCTTTTACGGAACTTGATCCCAAACAGATGAAATATCCTAGAAGATTTCTTGATTTCAAGACATCCACTGGTTTCCGTACAAGAATTTACAGCTGAGAAGGCATGCTTGTTGGTTCAGACAATGGCTTGTCCTCCCAAAGGATTTTCCCATCACATGCACAGTACTTTTTGGTGTTCTGGAAAAGTCCAGCTGATCTGGCGATGATTCCACAAGATAATCTGTAAAAGATTGTTTTAGAAACACATTTTAATAAGTGGTCGCCAAGTTGTTCTAGGGGCTTGCTCAGATGACTTTGTTGGGAGTTAGGTTCGTACAAGGGGGACAATCTCGGGAAGGAAAAAGAATCCTCCAAAACAGCAAAAGAACAAAACCGTATCTCAGTTATCCACATTCAAACATATTACGTCAGTTACAGGACTGTACTTCAAAGCCCTTCCTTTGCTACACGATAAGATTTTAAACTTCCTATCGCTAAATAAAGAAATTGGTTCTTGAAGGAGGGACTACAACGAGTTCCCGATATTGTTTGTCAAAATGAGCCAAAGAGGGCAGCTTATACGACCATGTTATGTGAAGAGTTGAGGAATTTCGAAATCATTTTTGCAACGTCGACTTACAGGAACTAACGAAAGCGTAAAACTTCGATGTAAAAAGACTCCAGGAAAAGAACGCTCACATTCCGACCGAGACCGTCTGCGGCTGATCAAAATGCGAATTCGTTTGAGATCTTAGATCTGAACGCCCCTGTTCTTTTCAGTCACTGCCGGGAAACACCATAAAATAAAATAAGTGTAAGAACCTGGAATTTAAGTTTGCAGACTCTTTCGGTACAAGTCTTACCCAGGGCCGGAATTTCCAGTTATCCTCGACAATTCATTGGTGCCACGCCCAAGGTCATCTTCACCGTGATGTACGACTAGTGAGCGACCGATTACATCCCAAACCTGCAGGGAAGGACAAAATAAATGATTAAACTGCTCTTACTGTAGAACAACAACCCCCGTTTACGCTATAATACCTCGAAGTAACGCCACATTGCTTGTACGTTAGTGTTTCCAAATCCTAGATAAACCTTAATGTTGAATAATTTTTTGGACTGAAACCATGCTAATTTTTACAATTTACTAGAACTTGAAAATGACCTCGGAGAGGTCGAAACGTCGTTCTGTTTTAAAAGCTAATTTGTAATACAAAAATCTACATAAAAGAGACGTCAATATGAAACCTTAAAATCTCAAAATTTTTGAACTTCCCACATATAAATCATATGTGCATGTAATAATAATATCAACCAAGCAGATTTATCATAACAGCTCCCAGATGATAGCTGATCAAACCTTTAATCCCTCAGAGTGACTAGCATCTAATTCTCCTTACAATATCACCCTCAATCAAACATTAAGGTCACAAGTAAAAAGGAAATGATCACCACCTAAGAGAAGCTCTTGATTGTTAGCCAAATTCTCCTTGTCAGCACCTTAAGAAATGTTCCCAGAACAGTATGGAGAATATGCATTTTAATATCAGGGTGTTGAGGGTCAAAAAGATTTCATATTCATTTAACCTGAGAATGTGCATGTTTAATGGACACCTCAAAAACTGAGAAACCTGACAAAAAACGTCACTACAGGAAGCTATAGTGTAAACAGACCTTGGTCCTTGTGATGATTGCACATTGTCAACTACACTGCTCTGTTGAGTGGCATTTGATTGTTCATGTAATTTGCACTGTGTGTATTTAACGATTATATTTTTATTATTATTATTTCAACATTTTTAAGGTTATTTTGTTTTACTATATTTTTTATAGGGTTATTTAGGACCTTTTTCCTTTTTTTTAATGCAACAGAAGAAAAAGAAAGAAACTCCATGTGTAGGTGACTGCAAGTGCAACAGGAATTTGAACCTACAGCTTAGTAGCAGAACTCTCTTAACTCTTATGCACACTTACCAATAAGACTAATAGGAAACAATCAACAATTTATCAGACAAGAAGAAAAAATCACAGCTGTACATAGTCTAAAAGTTTCTTACCTGATGGAGAATAAAAACATAATGTAAGAACAGCCCAAGGGATTTACCTTGATATTTTTGTCCTCCATTCTGAAAGAGGCTCTGCCATTTTTGTCAGCTGAAATGTTGCCAAGGTCACCAACATGCTTCGATATACAACATACAAATAAATCAGCCAACTTAATCATCCATCACTAAAAGTATGAATGACTAACTGAATTAGAGGCCTTAGTTATATGCGGTTATCAGTATCAAAGGTTGAGTTTGGGAGGGCCAACAATCAATTCTACAATACTTGAAATCAAGCCTCTGTAACTTAAGTTGGCTGCCAAGTCTTTAAGCTTAATTTATTTCTTCTTGAAATTGTACAAACTAAGAGTAATAAGATAAAATTACTGATTGGGAACAAAAGACAATGTGCCAGTGACAGGTCCCATATGTACCATCTTCCATTCACCCACTGGGTTCTCAACAACTAAGCCACCTTAGCACTTGTGGTCACCACATAACATTTACCACACCCTACAAACTGCAAAAATGGACTTTCTAAAAGTGGTTACAGAGTGAAATTTTTTTCAAAATTAGTGGCAATAATGAACATACCCTCTCATTGTCCTCTCGTGCTCCATGTTGACAGTTTCTGGGATTATAATGATCACCAGTACTAAGGGGAAAGATGTATCTTTTATCATAATTGAATAATTAAACAGGTTATCTTAAATTGTAGCAGTACTTGCACACATCCTCAGTAGAATGGTAGTCCATCACAAGTTATCCCCTGTACAGTTTTGTCAGGTTTTTCTGACAACTTAGTTACCCTTTTACCCCAAAGAGTGACTGGCTTCTAATTTCTCCTTACAGTATCACCTTTGAATCAAGGCCATAAGAATTAAGAATGTGATCAGCAATTTCAGATCTGAGGCTCCTGATTGTTAATCAAAGTCTCCTTGTCAGTACCCTAGGAAATTTAAAGAGAACAGCATGGAGAATATGGATGTAAATGTTAGGGTGTGAATGGTTAATGTCACTTGTCTGCACCCCATAGTGAAGAGATGTACCATAAGAGTAAAGATTTTGAATAACAACATCCAGGGCTCACACCTGGACCTTTCAACAAGAGTTCAGCTTGCAAATCATCAAGTTACCAATGCTCACTTATTATATAGTTTCCTCTTTTGACAAAACTCATGTAAATCATGAATACTGTACTCTGAATTGTACAGTTCACAAATGTCACAGATAACTTTTAACTAACCTTGCACATCCCAGAGACAGATCTCCTAATTCATGAATATTGAGCCCATGAAGTCCAGGAGAAAGTCCATCAATTGTGCCATCAATCACACACAGATCCTCAGATACCTAAAAATCAGAAAATTACCAGCATAAATTGTAATCAGATGAAACTATCAGCTCTTCCTTTCCCTGTGGACATAGCATGGACAAATGGACATTCTCTGTTTGTGATAAAGAATTTGACCCTAGTGGTTTTCCACCTAGTAGGACATAATTTCAATATGATATTGTATGGACCATCATCAAATAATGAGTTTCTCATGTAAATTGGAACTCATAAAAATACATTTAACAGCAATGCCATTAGGCTATGTGCTGTAAAGAACCTTTTCATCCAAAAGTGCATTAAGATACCTGAACAAATCTGGTGACACCTTTAACAATTCCACTGCGCATCTCCACAACAGCAGCTCCTAAATGCTTCAGATCCTTCCCTGTGTGGAATGAAATGATATCTGTTTGTCATAAATATCTGACAGTGAGGATAGTAATGATGATGATAGTGAAAAAAATATATATAATAGGAAGGTGATGAGTGCAGAAGAGAAGGACAATAATAACAAGGCTGGCAATGAGCTTTGATGAGGATAAGGGGAAAGATGAGTGTGATAATGAGAAGGATAAAGTCCATGAGGAAAATAGTGATGATCATGAAGAAAGAGATGGTAAGGGTGAATAAATTGTTTGACAACTCAGTCTTGAACTTCAAATCATGTAAGTACTGTCACAGTCAAAAAACTCAACAGGGTGGTGATGATGATGATGATGATGACAATGGGGGTAGGTGGTTATAAGAGGAGACCAGGAATTTGAAGCTTGTAGTGGCGATGACGATAGGGATCATAAACAGTGTAACGGCAAGATAGTTGTGACTAAGAGACAGTTTGAGGCATGACATTAAGGAAGTTGTTTTCAATTGATTCAGTGGGAGGACTTTCAGTAACTCAAATTCAGTAGAGAAAGGACAGGATCAACTACAGTGTACATGTTGCTGAACTTCTAAGGATGGCATGCTCTACAGTCATCACACAACTGCATAATTTTTATTGCTCAGTGTTGTGTACATATAGCCCTTGCCTGCTGGACCAAGTCCACGTAAGATGGCTGTACGTCCTGAGGTTTCTAATAGATTCTGGACTTGTCTGGTTGACAGAGTTGTCTCTAAAGTCACTTGCTCTGAGTTTGGATCCACTGTGAATGATGTGATACCTAAAAAAGTCATTTTCTATCAGTTAAACCACCTGATGCATTAATTTAAGCTGTCATTTCTATCATATATTCAGGGGTTTTGATTGTCCTTAATATCAACACCATTCAACAAAAATGGTCAGAATATCCAGCTATCATGATAGAGTATTTAAAAGATCCATATAAATATTTTACTAGAAAACAATGTTAAGTCACATTCAATATTGAACAATTTTACCAGCACATGATTAAAAATAGCAACCGTAATTTACATATCATTAATAATCCTATAGGATAATTAGCCTCCTGCTTCCAAAAGTAGTCACAGTTCGATTAAAAGCTGTTAGGATAACCCTCTTTAGGATTGGGTACTGGTTCATCACAACAAAGTTCCAAAACTTGGTTACAGGTTTTCCTTGAAGTTTCCAAGTAAACATTTTAACTACTGGGTGGGGCATGGTATGAAAGGTGTGAAGGGTCTTATACCAGAACACAGTGACTACAACTGAAGCCACCTGCATATGCATTGAATTACTTGAGTGAACATTACAGTCAATATCCCAAAATAAGAAAACAAAATAAACCCTTCTATTCACAACCTAGAATGATTTTAAAAAAATCAACAAAACAATAAAAAAAACCCCAATTTTTCCACAAACTTACACACCTTCAACACCATGGAGTGAATTGCAAATTGCATCTACACAATTCTTACAGGTCATCTGCACAGCAAACTCCATCTACAAAGATAACACTTACCAATGGATTTTGTGGTAATAAATAATGGAGCAGTGGAAGAATCTGGGGCAAAATTCAAAGCACCACAGTATACCTTGACTTCTTGTTTACAAGTTTATGGCAATCATTGCCACAAACAAGATGTTACAAGATTTAAAAGGATAACCCTTGTAACTGATATCTCCAAACAGTTCAATTTGAGAAAAAACTACATTAAAAATATGATAGTAATTAAAATAATATAAATGATGGTGGAGAGAGTGCGTGCAAAAGTGCTGAAGAATCATACAAGACCTACCACCCTGAGATTACTCTTTCCAAAAACACTCAGTATAAATGACAACATGTGCTAAGTACTTCATTTTTTCATACTTTCTTGAGGGAATATGCTCCCATACCTGGTTGTCCACTCTCCCTCCCCTCCCCTCCCCATCCCCCCCTGGATAGGCAATGCCTGCAGTGTCACAATCGATGGCTATGCAGTCGAAAATCTCAGTCTTTGGCAGAGCTCTGCAGTACTATGCAACGTACTGTTTTCACAAGAAATTAAATAGAACGTTACTTTCAATTTTATTATCTAAAATACCCCTCAAGTTTTAACCAATGAAAGTTAAAAACACATATATACATTCTGATATACGAGACTACGATACTCAGGACATCATTCCCCCGATACAAATTTTTTATCCATTATTTTGTCGTTGTTTCTTGAAGAAAAGAATGTTTAAGTACCAAAGTTACCAAAATTGTGAAACATTTTTTTAAAAAAATCCTATTTAGTCCGCCCCTGGGTAGGTATTCAAATTGTTAATTTTCACTTGTGATTCTAGATATCGTGAACCTACCATACAATCATGCAGTTCAAATTTTCAATCATATAACAATTTTACGCTATATAGCTAAGAATAGTCTCGGCGGAAGTGAAATTTCATAAAAATTTTAATTGATTGTAGCAACAACGAACAAACTTTCCCATCTATTGTAGAAAAAAGAATAAGTACCTTTTGGTTCAGCAGCAAACCAGATAATAAAACACATCTGATTTATTAAAAAATTACATAACTAAAGAATTACCTTAGTTGTTGTTGGGTTGGAAGCCATCTTGAAATGCCGCGTACGAGTGAGCCTGGGATGACTATGTCACCCTGGAGACGAGGCTGATTACTACAAGCCCGGGAAAAAGGAACATGGCAGCTAAGGAGAAAGAAGACGCGAAAGTTCAACCGTTGATGATATTTTATGATAGTGAAGCCGCTAATGGAAATGTTTACTGTGGCGATATCATTGAAATAGCTGCAAGGTGCTATCCTGATGTTGTGAAAGGTTCTTTTCAGTCGCTGATAAACACCAAACAACCGCTGTGTGCCTTCGGTAAGTGAACGTTGTTTATGCGCTTCTTGCATAACATCGACACGATAAATCTACACCGTCAGCAACTTTGTGCCCTTTGTGACGCCGCTGCATTTCAAAGAAAAAGCTATGTGTGAAGAAATTTTTTTCTGTAAAGTTTTTGCACGGACTGGAAAAGAGCCAAAGAGTCATAGAAATGGGAAAGAAAACCTTCAACATCTGAACAGCGTCTAACAATTTGCCAAGAATAACAGCGCGTGCGAAGAAGCGCATGTCTGGTGATTCGACGGAATTCAAATTATTTCCTTATTTTCTCTCGATCTAAAAATTTCACATTTAGTGAATTTGAAGACAATTAAGACTCCCTCTCACGAAAATGCTCCTTTAGAAACTGTCTCGACTCGTTCAGGCTTTTACAATGTGTGTTGGTATTTCCGGTATGTTAATTGCCAACGCCATAAACACAGGCTTCGTCATGTATTTCTGAACTAGTCTCAATCCTGTTTTCGACACCGGCTCCTTTTCTCATGGTCTTTACCTTCTTCTCGAGTGGTCTATTTATTTTAAAGTAAGAAGGCGATGATATGATTTTTAAATTTGCTGTGGGTGCAACGAATCTTTTTTCGTTTTTTAATCCCATGGAAGAGCTCGAGTGCATTGCGAATATAATTGTTAGTAAACGAACTGTGATTTAGTTAACTAATTGATTTGGAGGGAAATGACCTATTATTTTCCTTTTTTCTCAAGGTGTTGTCGCACTTCTTAATACTACAGATAAAAATTTTGAGCTTCTTCATCCTAAATTTTAAAACAGGAGAGTATAGGTTATTTATTTTCTGCCAAATGACAGGAAGAAATGTACAGAAGCCTGGTAATTCCAAATTTAGTTTTATTGGTGGTTATCTCAAAGAGTTCAATATTGATGATAACAAACACAATATTTAAGCTTTTTACTTTTTCACTCCTAAGATCTCTTTGGTAATTCTCCTTACAGCATGGCAAACAGTTCTCATAATGATGGTTTGGCGAATTTGATATTGAATCAACTATTAAACCCCTAATTGATATTTTTCTTTTTTCATCACTTATCTTCTTGATATTGTATTGATGTTGTGAGGATAAATTCTGTTTTGGTCATTCATGGGAATTAAAGGGCAAATTCACCACCTGTGTTTTGAGAACTTTAGCTACAGTTTTTGCTACACTGCACTCTAAATGTTTTTTAAACATAAACTAATTTTACAGCCAATACTATGATTTAGTTAACTTTTTTATAGTTTAATTGATATATGGAATGGGGTGGTAAAATAAGAATTTTTATGTTTTCTGTAATCAGAACCAAAATTAGTGGACATATACAGTCTACAGACATATGTCGTATTTGCACTGTCACTTTAACCCTTTAAAGTCCATGAGTGATCAAGAGAGAATTTCTTCTTACAATATTTAACAATTATTTACCAAAGTGGAGGTGAATAGTACTGGATATTTACTGAGCTGCAGTACATACCACTCAGATAACAAGAAAATAAGTTTATTTCCTTCCATTATAAGCAAATGGTCGAACATTAAACTCTTGATCGGCAATTTTGTCTTACCAGGTCCTCAGAGGTGAATAGCACTTGCTATTGACTTCCTAACTAGCCTATCAGTACATGTGAAAATACACTATTCACTTGTGGGTTATATGCTACTAATATTTACCTATGGGGTATACACTTACAATATACATAGAATACTTCAAGGAGGTCTGTCTGTATGGTACAATAACATACACAAATTGGTAGTATTAATAATTGATGAGTGAGGCAGTAAAGAAGTAAGATTTCTGATACAAACCAACAGGAGGGGAAATACCATACAGACAGACTTTCCATGATGTGTTATGTTCATTTTATCCATACAGAGACTCCATTCTCATTTACTGACAACTTATAGTTAGGTTGTGATAGGGGAGGAGAATGTCAAGAGGTAGAGAAAAATATTTTTTTGATGTTACTGTAGTCTTTTTATTTAATAGTCTAAACAACTTTTATTTCCTATTGTGTACTCACATCATGTCTAGCTGCCAGAGATTGTGGTCTGTCACAGGAGGATCTAAGCAACAAGCCATTCTTCAGGGAGATTTTTCTTAAATTTCTTTCCTGGATAGATGACATGGTGAAATTAGCCAAAAAGAAACATGGGAAGCATTTTTTTCCAGGTAAAGTACTTGATATAGCGGTTCTTGGGCTAGAAATCAAACATGGTAGTGTTCCCTGTGTGATTAAATTTAAATGTATTTTTCTCAGGGGTTCTCATAGAGAGAAATTTACCAGTGGTGTCCAGGTACTGCAAGTATCATGTAACCCAACAAATGCAGTAGCATACAAAAGTAAAAATACCCAGCAATTAAAATATCAGGTAGATGTTTCCTTACAACTGATTACTAACACTATTTCTATTCTTGTTTTTCAGTGTTGTGTGCACACCATGGCTATCAATTTGACTTCTTGATTTTACTGAACAACATGGAGAGGTGTGGATTACATCACTCAATTTTGACCCAGCACAATGTTCATTTTGCAGATACTTTGGTTTTCTGTCATGAGGTTGGTGCAGGGTTTGGTTGCAAATCTTGTGTGAACTTGCACTGAATCAGTTAGTTAAAACAGTTATGCTTGTGTAGGTGATGCACTTATGTTGTGGTTCAAATTTTAATTTTCTTTGATTTTAGACTATTTGTCATGCAGTGCCACATGCCAAAACAAAGGAAAGTAAAATTTGAACAGAGGATAGAAATGAAACAAAATGTACACATAATTTGCGCTTTAAATTTTTATTGAACCTATTGTTTTGGTTTAACTGTAAGGACCTGTGGGTGTATTGATTTTGATGAGGAATACTTTGTAAAATTAATGGATGTGAACGTTGGAAACCTTAAAGTAACACCTAGGAAATTGTTCCATCTTTTTCTAACCTGAAACTGCAGGTACCTATAAATTGTTATGAGTCGCAATAACTTAACATATTTACCCAATGATATCATTGCATGTGAATAGAACAAGAGAGATGGTAAATTTTGTTTCATCTGAACTTTATAATAGACTTCACTCACTGTGGAGTCTCTGAGGCTCAGTGATAGAGCATTGGATCATGCAATCTGAAGGTCTGAGATTCAATTCCTCATGGGGACCTAGAATTTTTCTTTGTCCTACTCTCGTGAAAAGACAAAAAACATCTTTCTCTATCTCAATATCATTGAAATTTGTTTAACTGTTAGTATTAATGTAGAAGAAGGACAAATGATCAAATAATCATATGATGTACCTTTTGAGGTAAAGAGAGGAAAGAGCCTCCTTCCCTACCCATTTCAAGAAATACCTTGGCATGCACAACATACATCTGTTTTATATTTTATATGTTCACAAGAGACAATCTAACACTTTGCTTGCAGATATGTAAAAGCTCGTTTTAATTTATCTTTTTATTTATCTGCATGTATTTTTCATGAAAATGTTGTCATGAGCATATTGAAAGTCATGCATAAAAATGAATCAAAACCTTCAAAACTGCTTTAAAAAGATGTGAAGGAAATGTTGATTACATCTCTTTGAACTCTCCTTTTGTTTAGTTGAAAGACAATGGGGAGAAGTTGTTGGCCAACACAAGACTGTCCCTTGAGGCGCTGTATAGAAAATTCTTTCCAAAGAAAAATTTTAAAGGTAAATACTGTCAAAGGAGGTGTGATGTATACATGTGTAGTATTCTTAGAGGTATTTTTGAACAATTCATGAATTCAGAACATGACCAACTAGGTTTGCCTTTATATGGACTGCTGATGTGTTTCAACCTAGCATTGTTACTCAAATTTTACTATTTGGCATTCTCTCCTCAACAAACTGTGGACTGATTTGAAACATTTGGTTGATGTTGGTTTCTTGCTGTCTGGTTCCCCATGTAACATAGTTTTGTTGGCCTCTCCTGTGCAGTACCCAAACTATCATTTTGAAACATAATTCATGGAACAAAACAGTTGGAACTAGTGCGAGAAGAAATATAATTTGTCTCTTAGATTATTTATTTGCATGACATTCATTTTCCCTGATTTTGTGTTGTTAACCATCCAATCAAATCCCTTACTCTATCTGTGTGTTAATGCACTTTCCTCTGACTTTTTAGCTTTGGTTAACTCAGAATCTCTACAATCAATTTCGGAAAATTAAGTTGCAGTGGTACTCTTGTAAACTTTAGTGTTAAACCATTACTAGAAAATGTATTTTAGCAAAGTTCCATTTTGGCTTTTCAGACAGACACAGAGCCATGGGTGATGTAGATGGAATGGTTAAGATCTTCACACAGACACCACTCCGCAAACTACTTCACCTCTTGAAGTATTCATCTACCAAAGAAAGGTTTGTTCCACCATAAACTGTTGCTTGGGAATGTCTGAAGGGAATCAGAATGAGTACGACTTTCATATTGAACTAAGAATTGTGCTGTCCAAAGAGAAGAAGCCAGATTGTATGAAGGGAAAGTAAAGCTAGTGTCATTTTCTACTAACTTCAAAAGCCATGTACTCTTAGATTTGATTGAGGTTGGTTTTGTCCCTTCTCCTGGGTATAGTCAACTTGCGTGTAGTTTGACCTGTGGTGAATTTATTTTAGGTACCTTTTTATTGGAGAAAGCAGCTTTCACTATTGAGTTTCAAGCTCATTTGAACACAATTTTCAAACAATTTGATTATGGGTTGAGTCTCAATACTCAGTTATCAGTAAATTTTAAAATATTCATGTACTGTGGAATGGAGGCAACAAAAATAATGTGGATTCTAGAACATGCGTCTTCTCCAAAGTAGTTACATATATAAGTCCTTG